AGACAACAACACCGACTACGGGACCTGCATTCTTCTGAACCTTTCGAAAGATACTGTTAAAGACCAAAATCCTGGGGTGTCTTTAGGGCTGCAGCTGGTTGGAACCCCTTTACTTCTGCAGGCACTGATTAACTTGTGGATATGATTAACTTGCAGATAGCCCAGCAGGGAGCCGCCTCCATCAACAGCCAGAGCGTGCTTGGCAAGAGGCCGTGGGAACTGTCCTGCAGCTTTCCTGGAAAAGGCCACTTTGGGGTGGAGCTGCAGGTTTCCAGCAACCGCGTAGCTGCTGCGGTTTCCTGGCAAGTCCTGACCGCGGGTGCCTGAAGCTGCTCTCTGCCTGTGTTGGGACCACAGGCCCTGGAACCTCCTGTGCTAAAACGGCGAATGACCAAGCCAGAAAGACTTTCCCAGAAGCCGGTCTGGAGCAGTCCGTGGAGACAAAGGGGCAAAAGGAGGAGAGCGCCCCTGCTGGCCGACACGAGTGACTGCTCCCCTTAGGCCTGGGGAACATTGTAAGAGTAGGAATAAAACTGAGGGGGGAAAAAAACCTCATTTCCTTTTCACACACCAAAGCAAAGTGCAGGACTGGGCAGCAATCGAAGTCCTGCACAGCCGAGCCCTTCCTCGACTGGCGGGGCGTGGGGGGCGGGATGGAACACGGGACACAGCTCAGCTGATCAGCTGGCTCCCTGGCTCTGCGGTTCCTGAGCACTTTCTCCAATCTTCCGTTTCTCATCTGTACTAAAGAGATGGCCCTCAGACCCCACTCGGAGAAGGCTGTGAGGGTCAGCGATCAGGCGGACAGAGGGTAGAGGCCTGGCTTGTTAGCCACCGCAACCCAGAGGTTTGCCCAGACGGGTCTTCAGACTGCCCTCGACCAAGCGAGGCCGTGGCTAGGACTCTCCTAGGCTGAGCAGAGTACTCGAGACTGTTCCCCTGACAGGGTCCAGCCCCTAGAGCTGCGTGGGCGGAGTATTGGAAGGACCAAATGCCACACTCTGTAACTGGGCTGACAACTCTTCACCTATCTGTTCAAAATGCTTACTAACCTTTATGCTCTGCTGGTGGGGAATGGGAGGTGGAGCAGCTAGTGTGGGTGCAATCTTGTTTTGCAGTGTCTCGTAAAGGTTCGAATTGCTGTATGCCCCATTAATCCCATCCTTAGGTATGTACCCCAAATAAATGAGAGCTGTGTCCACACAAAAGCTGTCAGGCTTGCTCATTGTAGCCATATCCACTATATCATACCGACCGATTAATGAATGGTTAAAATATGTGGCACATACCGATAGACCTAAAATGTGCCTGGACCTTGGAAATACGCTAAGCGAACGAAATACGCAGGATGGAAACGGACCGTGTAGGGCTTTCCATTTATATGAAATATCTTAACAGGCAAATCCCTAAGACAGGAGGATGATTGGCAGGTGTCGGTGCCCAGGGACAGACGATGGCTGTTCATAAGTACGAGAAAATATTTGGGAGTTAAAGCCTGGTGCTAATTGCACAACCATGCAAACACAGTAAATCACACTGAAAACTATGGTACTTGAATTAAGCCACAATAAAACTGTTACTTTAAAAAGGGCCTCTTCGCACGCCAGCTGGAGCGTGCTCTGACTGGAGGAGCAAGTGAAGATGGGCAGTGCAGGCGTGGAGCCCTTGTGAGCTTTGCCCACAAATCAGACCAACCAGCTGCAGCTGCCCTCCATCAGCTGTGCCAGCCCCGAGGGTGACGGAACAGCCACAGGCTGTCTCACAGCAACCTAAAGGCTTGAGTATGCGGAGGTCCAGGGTTGGACGGCAGGGTGTAGCCCGTGCTTGGGCCGGCTTCCTACTCCAGGAACCACGTAGAAAGATGACCAAGCTTGTGAGCAACCTTGCTTCCCTTGGTCTCAGGACTTCTAGAAAAGAATTCTGGGTTTTCCAGACCCCCAACCAGGAGTGACCATTCTGCTTTGTGCCCATGGAGACGGAGGATGGGGAGTACTAATTCCCAAAGAACTTATGTGGAGACATGCGGAAAGCGAGCGTGTCTTGCAACTCAGGTCCCTGGCGGGAGGCAGGCTTTTCCGCAGTGAGCTGATCCAACACACAGCGTACTTGGGTAGAGTAAGGAGCCTGTAGTGTCTCTTGCAGGCAGGTGCAGAATTCTGACCCAGAAGTCCTTCTAAGCTCGTCTCTCTGCTTCTTGGTAGCACTGTTTAGAATCTTGGGAGGAAATTCAGTGTGGCAGGAACTCTGAGGGCTTCCTGCTCTGCTAATACGCCCTACACCCTCAAGAGCGATGGCTATGGTGGTTGGATGCCAGCCGTTGCCCTCAGGGGAAGTGGTTGTGTAATCTTTTTTTTTTTTTTTTTTAGTTTTTCGAGACAGGGTTTCTCTGTGGCTTTGGAGCCTGTCCTGGCACTAGCTCTGTAGACCAGGCTGGTCTCGAACTCACAGAGATCCACCTGCCTCTGCCTCCCGAGTGCTGGGATTAAAGGCGTGCGCCACCATCGCCTGGCTGGTTGTGTAATCTTAAGTAACCTGGGGAGACTTCACCAAGGGAGCAGCCTACTCCACTGAGACCCTTTGCTGGACACAGGAAAAGGGCCCAGGAAAATCGAGGACTTATTCTTACCCGAGACCCTACTTCAAAACCAGAGTTGCAAGATTTTCAGCACCCCAGTTTCCCCTGCCAGGCCCAAGCCAACACGGTCTTCTCACTCTGCATCTGCCCCTGATCTCCTAAGTCTACTCTCACAACACTGTTACATTTGGAATAGAAGGTAAGGCCACGATAACAGTCCACAAGGCCATCACCATGCGTGCTCCTCCTTGCATCCCTATGACATCATGTCCCCAACATCCAGGCAGACAGATGGATATGCCTGCCTGTTGGGAGCTGTGAACCCCCCCCCCAGGTCCTGAATTTCTGGTAAACAACTTGTAATGCTTGCAGCTGCTCTGAGCACGAGACCCTCGGGAGTTCCTGATGGCAGGGGAGTGGTTTCTGGTGGGTTTGGCTGGGTCACGATCTCTATAAAAGCGGCTCTGGTACACAATGAGGGGGGCATTCTTGTACCCCATGCCTTGCCCTTGTCCTGTTGCTCTCTGTCTGTAAGGTTCTTCTCAGATATCTGAATGTCTGACCCACACTTCCACTGTCGGAGTCTCCCCCCACTGTGGGGGCCTTCCCTGAGCATCTGCTTAGAGTAGTCCTCCAGGTCCACTACAGGGCCTGCTTATTTTCCTCAAGGGTATGTACTACCATTAACATATCATCTATACGCTGTGTAAATTTTTTTAACCACATTTATATATCAAATGTTTCCTCATCATCTCAGCAGAAGCAAACAAAGATGAAGTCTCAAGGGAGCAGCAAAGGCCGTGCAAGGAGTTGACCACTCTGTAATGGGAACGGAAAGGTTTCTTCAGGTTGTCTTGGTTAGAGGCTGCTGCTCTGGAGAAGCTGTGGGTAGGGTAGTCGAAAGTGGAAGGCGTCTGTCACTGGTGTCTTTGCTTTTCTCTGATTGGTTAAGTTAGAACTGTCTGGGGCCCATTGTTTCTTAGCAGCCTAGACTGTGATGCCAATGGCGAGGGGGCACCCCCTGATATTCAGCTTCCTGGCCTGAGGAGGTGGCTAACAAGGTACTTTCCTGGAAAGGCTGTGGGCCAGAACTACTTTTCTATATAACCCGGCCATCATTTACTTAAATGTTCTGACCCCTCCCTAGAACACAAAGGACACTGCGTCGTTCGCTGCTACGTCTGAGCTACCTCTTTGCAGCTCAGAATAGCGCCAAGTACTTGGTAGACACTTGCTGGCAGTGAGGTGATTATGGGACTGTTTGTCTCCACCTAGACAGAAAAGCTGTGACTTCCGCATGTGGGTAAAAGATGAACCTCGATCGACCTAATTCAGCCCAGTCCTACAAATGTTTGCTGAGAGCTTTCTACCTGCTGTGGTAGCCGCTCCCGATTGCCCAACACAAAGGCATCCTGAAAATGTACTGATGGGCAGTCTCAGTGCTTTGATCCATGCTCGGAACTCCCTCCACCCCAACTTTAATTTCTCCCCACCTTTAATGCCGCTGCAGTTCCAGGACTTTTTTTTGTTTTTCAGATACTGCTCTGGCTCGTGCCTACTTCCTCCAGCCCTCATTCCCTCATTCAGGCCTCGAAAGCATCCATGTGATAAGAAAAAAGTTTGAGGGGAGGAAGGACTAGGGTAGTTTTGGAGGGGAGGGGACAAGGGATAAACTGGGGCAAAGGACAAGGACACATATGCATGGAATGTCAGGCTCAACTGTGGCTTCTTTGGTTTGGTTTGTTTTTAAGGCAGAGATGGACACTTTAGCGCAGGCTGGCTTGAACTCACAGTTTAGCCCAGGCTGCCCTCAAAGTCAGTGCCCTCCTGCTTCACTCTCGGCAGTGTGGAAATCCATTGTTTCATATTCCGGCTAAAGCAACTAATTTTTAAATGGTGCAGCAAAAATATCCCTGTACGCTAAGAGACTCTGTCTCTAGCGCCATCTCTTTCTCCACAGCTCCAACTGATGAGATCACTGCACCTCCTGAGGAAGCGCTCACCACCACACCAAGCGCCCCGTGAGCTAGTCATCTTCTGAGCTGGCTTACTGCCTTAAAGCAAGTGTCACAGCTTGTCCCCTGTGCAGGTGGCACACAGGAAGTCTGGTATTCTGAGTCTCCTTTCCCTCTCCACTTGACTCTTTATTGGGGTTTATTAAAAAGTCCATTGGCCATGGGATTTATCCACAGAAGAGCCACGTGGGGATGTAGTGGCATTGCGATGGCCTGGTCACCTGAGGCTGGCTCTCCACTTGGGCATCTCCACTACTTTTTGACTAAGGATCCTCAGTAAGTACATGTGTACCCTGGAGCTACCACAATGTGGCTCTGCCTCATCCAACTGGGGCAAAGTCAGACAAGGGCACCAGACAGAGAACTGGATTAGTGTTGTGAGCGGCATGGTGGTCCCCCAAACACGATACTCAGAGAGGAAAGCCATTTTTATGAGTTTTTCAAAGGCAAAACTAATCTACAATGTTAAAGAGGACAGTAATTGTCTGTGGGAGAAGCCTTCATATTAACAGGGTGAGCAGCTCCTCAGATCTGCATGGTTTGTCAAATGCAAGATTCATCTAAATAAAATTAAAGTAAAATAAAAGAACGACGCCGTATTCCTTCTTCCCAAATGACTGGCTCGCTGTGTCCATCCATGTCTTTCAAAAACCACTCGTGGCCTCTCACAAATGTGTACAGCGCTGAGCATCAGTGAACACAAGGGCGGGTGTAGCACCCTGTGAGGCTGAGCTGAAAGGGTGTCCTGTCAGCCATGGCAAAGAGCACATGGGGTGACTTGGCCTGCACAGGTCAGCACTCTCAGCCGAAGGGCACAGGTAGACACGAGCCTAGAGGGAAAAATTTCTGGGCTATTTCAGAACAAGGTCACTGTGTGATCAAATCCCATTTCAGAAATATTTAAACTATCTTGCTAGTCACCCCACTCAGGACCCTGGGTGTCTGAGTTCCTTCTGTCACGTTTGTGCCCTTGCGCCAAAACCCGTTACCATCCCTGTGCAACTTAAGGCGAGGCGTTCCCCCACCCCCACCACATACAGGATTGCCCCTGACCCTCAGGAGACACTGGCAACACACACCTGTTACTGCCTTCCTGCAGCTGTGCCTCCGGGCTGGGGACCCGGCTCCGGCCAGTTGGGCAGTTGGGCTAATGGGCCTTTCCACCTCCTGGCGCCAGTTTTTGAGTTGAATTCATAGATTTCCCCAGTCACTAAGGGTAGATAATACAGCAATTGTATAAAACAAAAAGTTAAACAAGTCCGCTTGCTCTCATTGAGGGAGGCCAGATGATGTGACCCCCTGTGACGGAAAGACGCTTGTGAGGCACCCAGACAGTCTTCTGAGGCCTGCCTCTCCCCCAAGCCGTGCGGCTGGGACACAGTGTCTCTCAGGATGGAAAGGTTGGCAGACTCTTCAGCATCTCACTTGTGAGATGAGGGGACCATGGAAATTCCAAGTTCCTTGTGTCTATCACATAAAGCGGGTTTGATTTCTAACGGGGTTACCCATGAGGATCTGATTTGTTTTGTTTTAAAAGACCCTTGGATTCGCCATACAAAGGAATTCGCTAAGTAAGGGCGGAGAGCCTTTGATTTTTATTTATGCCAGGCTGGCAGAGAGTGTAGACACTGATCTGGTCCTGCTGGGAATGAGGAGAGGCAACCATTTTCATTGTGTTGGAGCCAGCAGACACTAACTGATATGTTGGTCCACACACTGGGCCGGTTGGCTCCTTTCTTTCCCCTTTCTTCTCTCTAGCACAGAATGGCACAAGGCTTCCTTGGTTTTTTTTCCTTGTAAGCTTCGGTTTGGGGCAAGCCCGGCTCCTGCCACCGCAATACAACACAAGTGGCCTCTGCCGGCTCAGGGTCCCACCAGCACTTATGCTAATGTGGGCACATTATGGTAACAAGTACCTAATAATAGAGGGAAATCTAATTCCAACAGCGGCAGCTTCTCACTGGAGAGGAGCCATCCTCCTTCCGGGGACTGGAGCCCTTTGTATAGGAGGGTGGCGGGGAGCCAGCGCACTTGCCTCCTGAGTTTCCTTCCCCTCCCTTTATCCACGTCTATAATTGAGCCTTTGTAAGCGAGGTGTGTGTGTGAGAAGGAGCTGAACTTGGAGCCTATTTCAGGGAGCAATGAGAGCTCTGGAGGCCAGTTTCCCCTTATGTTCATCACGTCAACCAAGAAGTTCTTGGCCGTGATCTGGGGATAGAGGAGCCAAACTTGCCATTTCTGCTCCTAATAAGTCGGTACTAGAAGCATGTCGGGAAGACCGGAGGTGAGAAAGGATCAGTGGGCAGGGGACATAGGCCTTTTTGAATTCACCAGTTTCCTAAGTTGCATCATGGGAGATCTGGGTCTGCCCGTCTGTGAACCCCTCTCCCCCCCGCCCCCGCGCCCCCTCCCAGCGCCCCGCTGCACCCAGGACCCGTTGCGCCCTCCCCCACCGCCCGCTGAACCCAGCGCCCAGCTTAGCCATGTTAGACCTTAAGTGGGTCAGCCTCACACTACAGACCACGTGGCCAAGGTGCCAAACCAGTGGGTACTTCCCAACTCCTGTCCCAGAGCACAAAGTATCCTCACGGGTGGTGTTTGGTTACCTGGGTCTGTGGCTTCTCCATCAAAGACAGTATTCATCTGGACAGATTGCTAAGGAAAAGAGACCGCTTCAGGCACAATGCTGCGGATGTCCCTGGGCAAGGCCACCCACCCTCTTGGTTGTGCTCCTTGCTCGTGGCTTCTTTTGCTATTTTGTTTTATTCGTTTATCACCATTTTTTTTCCAGACAAGGTTAAGCCCAGGTTAGTCTTGAGCTGGGTGTGTAACCACGTCTGCTCTCAACCCCTTGCTCTTGCTGATTGCTGGGACTGCACGCATTTACACCTGGCTTTCCTGGCTCAAGCTTTGGGACTGGGCCACACGTTAGGGACACCACCGTGACCCAGGCAGCTCTGTCTGTCTCCATTGTTTGTCACTGACAAACGGGCTACGACAAGGCTATGATAGCAGAGGTGGGTTTTTAACATAAAGCAAAGAAAACCAGCCTACAAATCACAGTCCCAGAGAACCTAGACAACAATGAGGACTCTAAGAGAGACATACATAGACCTAATCTACATGGATAGTAGAAAAAGACAAGATCTCCTGAGTAAATTGGGAGCATGGGGACCTTGGGGGAGGGTTGACGGGAAGGGGAGAAGCAGGGAGGGGAGCAGAGAAAAATGTAGAGCTCAACAAAAATCAATAAAAAAAATGACAAAATCAAGATCCTCAGCATGTTAGCAGGAAGCTATTCAGAGCACAGCGGCCTCTTCCTTACCGGTGCCACCTGGCTACTTCCCCACCTCGGATGCTGAAGAGAAGCAGTGAGAACTGCACGTGCTTCATCTACTAGATGATCTAAAAAGCCCCATGTTTGATATGAGGGTTTACTTATTTAATAGATCAATGTGGCACAGTTTTAAGACTGTCTGTGAGTTCATCCCCTGGCACCCTAGGTGTTCCTTTTAGATGATAAGACCTTGGAAGCCCAAGGCTATTCCTTCCTCTCAAGCAGACGAACCAGAGAGTAGATACACTAAGGTGTTGAGTGTAAAGCAAGGGTCTGCCTTTAGCTCCACTGACCCCTCAAGATGCATACTTACCCGAGGTAGTGTCTTACATCATAAATAAGGTTAATCAAGGGGAAACAGAGGAGATCAGGGAAGGTATGAAGTTTTAGCTCTTCCCAGTGAATATATCAGGCTCAGTAAGAGAAAGCAAAAGTAAGACGAATGTCCTGACCAAAGGAGAAGCCCCCACAGGCTTCTGTGTTTGATTACTTGGTCCTCACTTGGCAGAACTGTTTGGGAAGGATGAGGGGGTGTGGCCTTGTTGGCGGAGATGTGTCACTGGGCGTCAGAAGCCCATCCATTCCCTTCCTCCTCCTCTCTCTCCCTCGTGGCTGTATCCGAGGATGTAAGTTCTCAGCTACTGCCCCAGTGTTATGATTGCTTGTCTGCTGCCTTGCTCCCCACCGTGATGGGCATGGACTTGAATCCTCTGGAACTGTGAGCCCCAGATAAACCCCTCGACGTTGCCTTGGTGTTGTATCATGGTGATAGTGAAGTAAGACGGCGAGGATGTGGTTCTAGCCAGGATGAGCACTTCACATAGGGAGATTTCCCCAGCCATTGTCTTGGGGTGGGTGTCCTCCTTCCCATTTCATGGTGAGGAATCTAAGGCTCCCAAAGGCTTGGGTGTCCTCAGGGTTATGTGGCTAAGGGGTAGGTAGCGCCAAACCCAGATGCAAGCTGTGCATTGTCTCTATCACTCCCTTGCAAGGTTGTGGAAAAGCCAAGAAAAATTAAATCTGCGGGATGCGGCAGCACCAGCTCTGCCTTTAAGCTCTGCTCCCCCAGTGTACGCTTGTGGAGAGCTGGAACGGATAATAAACACCACTACTCAATATTTATGAAACCCAGAGCAAACGCATCTGCAGACATGCTCAGTGAGGGAAGGAATCCTATCAGGAGCTGGCCATGCAGGGAGCTGTGTCAGTGGTCAGATGCACGAGCCTCTCCCAGAAGGCAGCAATGCAGCTCCAGCAGCTCCAGAGCCTGGGCTCTGTGTGCGGCAGAGACAGGACACCACCACCCAGCACCCAGGCGAGGTTCCTGTGGCTGACCACACTCACCACCACGGCCTCCTTCTTCACAGTCTTCCTGTCTGCAGGGAAGAGAACAGGGCAGCATTGCAGACTCTTAGATGCTGCCCAACCTAAAGTCCCACCCCACAGTGGGATTCCCTAGTAGGCTTTGATTTCAGCCTTACAGACAACACAGCAAAGGACTTTCCCCCTGCAGACCTGTTTGGTGACGGGGCTTTCAGTTTTCTTAGAAAACTACACACTTATGCACAGCACACGATTTAATTTTTAAAATGTTTTCCCGGATTATTAATACGGGTTCTTGGAAGTTAGCTCCCAAATGGATTTAGAGATAAGAAAAAAAGATTTTGTGTTCGTAACAAGGGATTTTTGACATTAATTGCCTATATCCTGGTTAAAAAGTAACTGAGTTTGGGGCTGGAGAGATGGCTCAGTGGTAAGAGCATGCGTTGCTTATGCAAAGAACCCAGGTTTAATTCCCAGCACCCTCATGGTAGCTCACAACCATCCATTACTTCAGTTCCAGGGACTCCGATGTCCTTTTCTGTCCTCTGAGGGCACTGAGCATGCACACAGGGCACCTATGCACATGCAGGGCAACCGGCACACATAATAAAATGAGCAAATCTGTTTAAAAAGAACAGGATTGGAGGCAATCTATGACGTTTCCATAGAGATGCTTCTTTCCGTGTGATCAATAACCATTATAGCCAAAATCTGAACCCTGCTCTTTATGCTTTGTGCATATAACACACCTCCATGGGCACAGTGACCCGCGCAAACATTGCTGAAAATGCATGGAATTTCCAGTGGTATGTCCTATCTCTCCCCATAGATCGGAGTAGCCTTAAGGTGACAACTCTTGGCCAGGATTGGAATGAGACAGATCTCTCCTTGGACCCGAGGCTCTCAGTAGATCTTGCTCAATTTAGCAATTAATTAGTTGGACCTAATGAATTTTGTGGAAAAAAAATGATCAAATCCTTTACAATCTGAGAATAAAGTGTCACTGCTCCTTCAGAAGTGGTACTTGTTCAAGACAGAGCACTCACGGCCCTTGGGAGCAGTCACCCTGTCTGCAGGCAGCAGTCAGGAAGTGCTGGATATGTGTAACACATGGAGAGGTCCCTACCGTGGATGGACTGGTTTCCATGGAGACACACCTAGACCACTAAACTGAGTTGAGTAGATGCACATGTGCAGAAAACAGGCAAGGCCAAATGAGTGGGTACCCTGTGCCCTGCCCTTCCCTGCTCCAGCATAGATGCCCTCTGCTTCCTCATTCCCCGACTAAACCCAAATTTAAGCCTTTTACGGTATAACAGAGCAAGCATTGAACAGCAAACAAACCAAGAGAGCATGCAGTATACATACCTTCCTTCTTTGTCCTGTGGGGAAAGGATGGGCATTAGTTGACCGGAAAGAATTTCACACAAATGTGCACACTTGGTAACATGGACTCTGCACACATGTAACACAGGGTCTGGGTTCCTTGGGATTCAGGGACTATGCTTTGAAAACAAGCTGGGGATGGGGCCAAAAGTTTTGACTACTAGCCCTGCTCTAAACTGCAGTTTGGCAAGTGATAGCCTGGAATTATAGAGGGTCTAGGAGTTTGAAGCTCTTGTTTCATACAACTCCAGGGAATACAGTGACTCCAAGGAAGGCAGAACCAGCCCAGGGGACCACCAGCTCGTTCTTTGCCCGTTCTTCTCCCCAGTAGCCTTGGGAGCCGAGAACTTGGCTCACAGCAGGGAGGTTGGAGGGCAACAATTAACTTCCATTTCCTGTAACCTGGAAGAGCTGGACTGGGTCTCTAATGCCCTTCTCCTACAACCTTGGATTTAATGATTCTAATTTTATTCCTCACTATTTGATAAGTGTTGGCTGTCACATGGTACAACTAACTTTCAGAGACTACAAGTCTGGGCCTGAGCCTGAATTTCTAGCTGTTTTCTCTTGTAGGTTGGGCCATGCTGAAAACTTGATTTAGAATCGGAGTAGGAACAACCAGGTTCAAGATACGTACTTACTATTTTACCATTTAGTTATAATTTGCATGTAACTTGCAGTGCTTACCTCTCAAGACGTAAGAGATTTCTCTCTTTTTTTTTTTTCTTTTTTTTTTCTTTTTTGGTTTTCTGAAGCAGGCTATCCTGGAACTCGCTCTGCAACTCTGTAGACCAGGCTGGCCTCTAACTCACAGAGATCCACCTACCTCTGCCTCCTGAGTGCTGGGATTAGAGGCCTGTGCCTCCCCTGTCTGGCTTACATCCTTTAAGAATGTCCACCCAAATCTCAATGAGACACCATCATCCTTAGGTACTTAAATATGACACCTTTAGAAACAGGGTGGGTTTTTTTTTCTGTTTTTCTCAAAGTCAATTTGTAACTAGAATACAAAGATGTCTTTATAATTTTCAGCAGGTGCTCGAGGATTTCTTGCCTGAAGTCTAGGTTGTCAAGAGTACAAATTTCCCCCAATAAATACAGCGGAATGCGGTACGCATCTTTAAGCTAGAGTGTTTCTTTTATGGCACCTTGCACACCGGCACTCAACACTACTTGATGGTTATAGTTATTATTCAGATACTCTTAAGAGGCATTGGAATCTAACCACTCATCCCTTTTTGTTGCTGAGAGGCCCCGAAAGTCAGTGTACCCAGTCATCCGGTTGACTTTGGGGTCTAGAATTCTGAGCTCCCTGGGTCTCCGCCCTGAAGTTAACACTGCGACAAATTTAAAAACATCTTTACTGGGGTCAGGGACACTACCCAACGCTCTCTCTGTTTAACTTGTTGGTTGGCTTTACAGAGAAGGTCACTGATGTCAAGAGAGTTTCTCCTGTGCCCAAATTCAGGTGCCCAGAGAGCGACAGAGCGCAGGTTTGAACCTGAAACTTGAACAGTGCCCAAAACCAGGTTCACAGCCGTTAAGCTCTGGCTGCGAGAGCTCCTGAGAATGAACCTAGTCCGAGAAGTCTGTGACACACAGGAGTGCAAGCAGGGAGGAGAGAAACCTGGCGTGCCAACAGTGTGTTTCCAAGAGGGTGGGAGATGAAGTCTAATGTCACTGGTACCCAAAGCTTAATTTCCTAATCTGCTTTTCGTTGTTGCTGTTCCCTTGAATTTCATGCCTTCCCATAGGTGCCCCTCCTATATTTATTCCACTGCTACGCACAATGGGGCTTTATCCAGGGCAAGGTCACTAGGAGGGTGACAGTCCACTTTCTCGAGATCCCACCGGGGCCAGGGTAAATTGCCAGAGGAAGTCAAAGAGCCAGCCATTGTCTTGGCCCCACAGGTTACAGTGTGGGTACCCCAGGCCCAAGAGCAGCTGGAATTCCTTCCTGTTATCTCCTAGTCTCTCCTTGAAGCCTGGTACCCTGCTCCGTACAACAAACACACAAACAAACAAAGAACAGGAGAGCCCCCCAGCCCACCAAAACTTACAGGTGTTTCTTGTCCTTCCTGGTCACGGAGGAGCAATGTCTGTAGACGGCTTTGGCCAGCAGGACCATCAGGGACCCCAGCAGCCCCACAAGCACCACGGCGCCCAGAGTGATGATGAAAGGCACGTACCATGCTGACGAAGAGTATGTGTTTTCCCTGAGGATCTGGTAGGTGATCCTGGGCTTGAAGGACAGAGGGGAGAGTGAGCAGGGTGGGAGCATCTCTGACATTCAGCATCCTGTGTGCGATGTTTAGGTTGCTCGGCTCCTGTCCTGCAAAGGTGGACATTTGTGTGCTCATAGTTCCTGCTACTCCCTCCCCTTGTTTACCTTCCTTCCATTGGATCAAAATCCAGAACAATTAGTGAACTACAGACCAGTTCCTGACTTCAGCGCACTGTCTGTCTCTTTCCCCTCCTCAGAGCCGAAATGGTCCACTAGCTACTTCTCAGCTACAGCTCAGCACAATCCAGGGACTAATTTAGCCATTGTCTCTCGCTGGGAAGGCAGGAGCCATGAAAGCTGTTTTTTTGTTTTGTTTTTTTTGTTTCTAACACCTTGTAGGCTTTTCAGTGTTCACTCGACACAGCTGCCACTGCCAGATGAGTGGGCTCTGATCACAGGGAGACTAAGTTCTGCTTTCTAGAGTGGGAGGCAGATAACAAACAAGTCATAGAGATCTCAGACTTGGAAATGCCACGGTGGGTTACGCTGTAAACCTAAGAGACTTAGCAATTTCTTCTAAGGATAAGTCTGCCGGCTCATCCCATAGGGAAAGTCCCCAGGGTTTGCTATGGTTTGAGTGTGACACCCCGCAGGGTAAGTGACGAAGAGTGTCCTGCCGAGCCTGATGACCTAGGGTTGATGCCTAGACCCCACCTGGTACAAGGATGACACAGATGCACACAGGTTGTCCTCTGACTTCCATAGGTGAGCTGTGGCACACATGTGGGGCATATACACACACATGCACACACACACGTACACACAAATTCATGCACACACACATACACACATGCATGCACACAATACACGCACAACACCCCACATGCACACACACATTCACACACATACACGCACACACATGCATGCACACACGCACACACATACACACATGCACACGCATGCATGCACACACATATACACACATACACACAGACAAATGCACACACAAAACACACATGCATATACACACATACACACATGCATACACCACACACACATGCACACGCACACACACATTCACACACACATACACACACATGCATGCACACACACAGACACATGCATGCATGCACACACATAGACACATGCATGCATACACACATACACACATGCATGCACACATACAATCCCTAACCAAACAAACTAATGGCCGTAAAAATCTCAAAAGGAGAGCCAGGAGAGACAGATAGTTATTAAGAGCCCTCACTGCTTTGAAGAGGGGCCCAGGTTTGGTTCCCAGCACCTGCATCAGGCCTCCTTTGGCCTTGGCGGGCATCTGCATGCGTGTGGTGCACACGTGGACATGGAGGCGTATACACATGAGCACATATAAAACATCCAGGAAACTTTAGTTGGATAACTTAAAAAGGAAGCCCACAGGCTCATGTGTTGTTGCCCTCCACGATGGTGGCACTATTTTGGGAGCTTCTGGAAATTCAAGGAGGCCTAGCTACAGGGTCACTGAGCATGCCTGGTTATACCTGGCTTGTGGTCCCCTCCCACCTCTCTGTTTCTTATAAGTCATGACATGAGGGGCCTCCTCCACCACATTCAAATGCACAGAGCTAGGCAGCAAAGTCTTCTGAGTCTTTGTTCTCCTTAAGTTGTTCTGTCTGGTGTTCTGGTCACTGCTACGCAAAAGAAATCTCTGTGTTGTCCTGAAATTTGCTCTGTAGACCAGGTCACCCTCAAACTCTTAGAGACTCTCCGGCCTCTGCCGCCTGAGTGCTGGGATTAAAGGTGTGTGCCACCACCGCCACCCAGCTCACTGGGGTCCACTGACTGCAGTAACAGAGGGGTGAACATCACAGTGATTAGCAAGACCCTGAGAAGCAGATGACCACCTATCCACAGGCAGTTTTCTATGAGGAGGGGTGTGTGAGGAGGCGGGGAGAAGAAGAGGGGGAAGTACACCTTTTTTTGCAATGATGTTCCTCTTTACCCTCCAGTGCCCCTCCCTGCCCTGCTCTCTCTCGTCATAGGCCCATAGCCTATGGTCTGAAATATTGGAAACTATGAGCTAAAACCTTTTGCAACTGGAGTTGCTGACCCCAGGTGTTTTCCTACAGTGAAACCGTCTTTACCACAACGGTCACTGCTTGCTCTACTACAGCTCACACCGACATGCTCCTCTCTAGTGTGAGAGGCCAGCGACTCTGCGCGTCCAAGCTCTTACACAGATTTCCATCTGCTAATCAAGCGTCCTACCCAACAAATGCCCCACACTCCGGGGTCAAGAGTTCCATTGCTATAAACGCCCAGGCTATGGCTGGAGATTACAGGTCCCTGGACCCTTACCCTGGGTACTGGGGTGACGATCGAGGTCGGGTGAGGAGTGACTTTAACACTGAGCGTCACTGTCCCTGTTTCGACAAGAGCCTCGGCTTTTGTCCTGCCAGACAGCAAGTTGTCGTCAGTAATGTAGATGAGCAGCTTGTAGTCCCAGATCTCATCGAGGCCACCAGCATAGCGGAAGGGGGACGCCAGCAGCAGGCGTGTGATGTTCGAGCCGGCACTGGGAGAGAGGGTGAAATGGCTGTTGACGTTGCCTAGTGAGATTTCACCCGAGAGTTGGTCAAAGAGAGAAAAAGAGATAAAATAAAGGTAAGAAGAAAACGCATTTGTTTTATTTCCTCTAATGCTCACACTTTATTTTTTATGTAACTGGGTCAGAGCTGTGATGTCCTACAAGTGAGGACGGACTGGAAAGAGAACCCCAGCACCCCTGTCTAGGGCCACCAGGAAGAGAGTTAAGCTTCTTGGTACATCCTGAGAACCCAGCACCCCTGTCTAGGGCCACCAGGAAGAGAGTTAGGCATACTGGTATGTCCTGAGAACCCAGCACCCCTGTCTAGGGCCACCAGGAAGAGAGTTAGGCATCCTGGTATGTCCTGATCATCTGGCAGCTGATATTTATTTAATGGTGATGTAGGCACATGTAGAAGTCTGCTGAGGCCAGTGCGTCTGGAGTGAGCTGCACCCCAACCATGGCCAGGTTCATCCTATGCCTTTTGTGGAGCTATTTAGCATCACTGGTGACAGGGAATCTCGAAGTCCCCTAAAGGAAGGCATCTCCTGAAGTTGCAAGGACTTCAGGACCAGGTCCTTGGGAATTCTCCCTCTACACACACACACACACACACACACACACACACACACACACAGACACAGAGATACACAGACACAGAGACATACACAGACGCACACAGACACACACAGATACACACAGACACATCGAGACACACACAGAGACACAAAAACACACACAGAGACACACACACACAGATACACACAGACAAAGACACACACACACACGCACAGAGACACAGACACAGACACACACAGACACACAGAGAGAGACACACACAGGCACACACAGACACACAGATACACACAGACACATAGAGACACACAAAGACACAGAGAGACAGACACAGACACACACAGATACACACAGACAAAGACACACACACGCACAGAGACACACACAGAGACACAGACATAGACACACACAGAGAGACACACAGACACATAGACAGAGACACACACACAGTGCTGTTGGAGCCCACAACTTGACGCTCCAGGCTCCTGGGGCAGGGAGGCTGGGAGCCTGACTGTGACTCTTGCTTGTCCTCTGTTGTCTCCAGACTCACTGCTGACTGAGAAGCAGCAAATGGAGCAGATGATGCAGTTTTTATGCCCTCAGCAGTAAAGGGCTCCGAAGGTCCTCGGGACTCTCAGTATGGATTATTTCCGCTCTCAGCGGCTGTGGTCTCCAGGCAGCGTCTGCCCCTGAGTTTTGTGGCACGGTGGTTCAGAGGCTCCCCACTGCTCTGCCAGACTCAGCAGGCGGCCGAGATGGATTTTCAGGTTTTCCTGTGGAATTGCTCTGCATGTTTGGGTTTAAATCTCTGGCCCCAGCACTCATTAGATGAGCTATTCTGGTTTTGTTTCCATTGAGAGGTGCTCTTTTCCCCTCCTTCCCACAACGGCACATTTTTAAAGGAAGGAGATGAATGGAGGAGAATATTCCCGAGGACACATTTCAAAATGCATCTAATCTATCCTTATCCTGAGAGAGGCCTGGGATTCCCTTCCCCCATGACAGGTTCTTCAGGAGAAGAGGTGGTGAGGAGATGAACTAAAATAAATTTTAAAAATTACACTCATGATTTTCTGGGAATTTGGGGAGAGTAATCCATTAGAAGGATTTATACTTCCTGGGGCCTTGGAATAGCCATGTGGGCGTAAGTCTGATTGTGGGGGTTTCTGGGAGAACTAGGTGGGACAGAGAAGCAGATGGAACACCAGGAAACACAGGGACCCTTGTATCCCTTGGCCCTCCTTCCTCACACATCCACGCTGTGCCCACATCAGTGTGGGAGCCACAACCCACTGTCCTGTCCCTCCCTGGATGGCCCAGAACTGTTGATACCAAGTACAGTACCTGAGCCAATGGAGTATCGGAAAGATCTGGGGCTAGAATCCAGGTCAGTACACGTCAATTTGAAATTCTGAATGTTTGTGCCAACTTTCAGATCCACTGGGATGGCCATGAAGTAAAAATTGGGGGTACATATTGGCTTTTCATCATTTTCTCCAAGGATGTTTACGGTAACCTAGAAGAGCCGGAAGGTGGTTAAAATGTTCCTACATTCTATTCAGTGTGTGTGTGTGTGTGTGTGTGTGTGTGTGGGCAGCTTGTGGTTGCCAGTTCTTTCCTTTCACCGTGGGGATCCCAGGGGTCAAACCCAAGTGTTCAGGTTTGGCAGCAGGTCCCTTTACCTACCGAGCCATGCTGTTGGCCCCAGACAGTTACTCTTAAGAGCTAAAGTGTAGTGAGCGCTCACTGTGTGGGATTCACAGCCTGCGAGAATTTGCTGATCTAGCCTCGTGTGTGAGTGAGGATGTGATAGCTCCCTGTCCACAGATGAGAACAGGTGGCCGGGAGACCGCAGGTGATTGACACAGCCCCTACTTAGGGGCAGGCTAAGCTTTCAGGGTTCTTCTATCTCACTCCTAACCCTGTTCATTGCTGTTAGCGTCTCTGTTGTGTGCACTCATGTGCAGGTGTATGTGTTTGCATGTAGAGTGCAGACATGCAAACATCATTCTTCAACACACATGCTCCCAAAGACCACAACGGCCATGGGCTTAGGGGAACCCATCTATTTACTTAGGCACTGTGCCCTGGGAACCTGAAACCAGTCTCTCATTTTTGTGTCCATCACAATGGTTCTCAAGCCTGGATCCACTTTCTTGGGCCCACTTGGGGGGGGGGGGGTCCAGGCACTTTCTGTTATGTTCCTCAGCTGACGATAATAGGCAGCCAGGTCTAAGACACTAAGACACAAGGCAATAGAGCTGAAGCCCTGATTTTGCCAGGTCTCACCTGTAGCCTGGGCGGTTATAACTACTCTGAGTTCTCAGCTGACTCTCCCCAAGCTAGGCCAGGCAACCCACCGCCTGGTGAGCCGACTGGGATTCCTGCCAGCGCAGGCTCCCTCGGCGTCAGTCCGGAAAGGGCCCTGCATGATCGTTTTAGCTCGTCACCCTTCCTAAAGGCTTATGAAATTTGAGTCTTATTCATTCTGCTTTGGAAATTTAGGGATTTCAGCTATTTCCGAGACTGGGAATAAATTGAAATGTTCACTCTCGTTAGCTCCCAGATTGGAGTCCATTCTTTATTTTTCTCTTTAAAAAAAAAATGAAAGAAGAAAAAAAATACAACTTAACAAACACCGCAATTATCTCCAACTCTCCTGGCCAGCAATCCGGAACCTCTTGCATGGCTGAGAGCTTCATTCCATTAATTCAGAGCAAGGCGCTAGAGGAAGCGAATGACTTGGGCCCTGGTTATCACGTGACTTCCCGCAGAACTAGGGTCATGGAGATAAGCCTTGCCCGGAGCGTGGCTAAGAAATGAATTCATTCTCCTTCCTGCACGCCAGTTGCTGTCCCTACCACGCGGCTGCCAGCCAAGCCACTTCCCTCAAGCCTTTTCGCTTCACTAATGGATCTCCATGGCTGTCATGCAGCCCTCGGGCCCTCCCCACACTCACCCCGCAGACCCACCAGACCCTCAGCGAGAGGCTTGCGTGCAGCGCGGTGCCCCTGAGAAACGTGCCGGGTGTGGTATGGGAACTCAGGTCCCACAGAATGTGCACCGAGAATCGGCATTCAGTGAGAGTCTCAGCATGGAACCCTGAGCAGCAATGTAGCAGCAGGCATCTGCAAACACACCTGGGTCCCTCACAGGTCCATGTGCCAAAGGCTTGTGCCCAGTCTGGCACCGCCGTGGAGTGCGGGATCTGTGGGAGGTAGCACCTCGTGGGAGGTTCGCAGGTCATTAAGGGAACATTCTCGAAAGCACTATGGGACCCTGGCCTGTCTTCTCCTTGCTTCTTGACTCTCGATATCTGAGTGAGAATTGTCTAAAACACATATTACTGCCAGGCAGTGGGGGCTTTTGTTTTTGTTGTTTGTTTGAGACGGGGGGGGGCGGGGGGGGGCAGGGGGTGTTTCTGTAGTCCTGGAACTAGCTCTTGTAGACCAATCGGCCTTGAACTCATATAGATTCGCCTGCCTCTGCCTCCTGAGTACTGGGATTAAAGGCTCTCACCACCACCACCTGGCTGGCACAGGCCTTTCCCCCTCCAGAGGCAGAGACAGGTGGATCTCTGAGTTCAAGGCCAGCCTGCTACACAGAGTGAGTTCTGGGGCAGTCAGGGCGCTTACACAGAGAACCCCTGTCTCAATAAACCAAAACAAACAAACAAACAGCCCCCCAACCCCCAAGAACCAGGAGTCAGGGTCCTGCTCTTTACTTTCTCGGTAGCCAGAGTCAGCGACTGTACCACCGGGGCACAAGGGTGAGCCACAACATCCTGTAATATCTGCCCCATCTGGTGAGCATGGGGGCGGGCCAGAAACACTGCTTCGGGAAGAGATTAAGAGCTACAAAACCAACCCACCTTGGCAGCTTGCCACTTACCACCAACCCATAGAAGACAAAGATTTACAGGGCACCAGAAGGATATTGGTCCCACAAGGTGGCTTTGTGGGTTCAGCAGACACGCCAGCGTCTTGCCATCGGTATTAATACTTCTCTCGGTCACTCACAGATGTGAGCCTTAAAGAAAGCTGTGATCTTTATGTCCTGGGAACCACTCCTTCATCGACCCATCTTGCTGTAGCCACATGCTGAGCGCGCCAGGGCCAGCCTGAGCCACCCAGCTAGGGCAGGGGCGTGAGATGGTGAGACCCGACACCCCAACTCACAGTGGCTGAGCTTGTGTCCTCGCCGTTGGCGGCCTCGACTGTGAGAGTGTAGACGGCAGTGGTTTCGTGGTCAGCTTTAGTTACTAGCTGGAGTTCTCCTGTCTTGGGATTAATCCAAAATATGTTTGGGTGCTGGAGGCTGGCCCCTCCGCTGGATATGGAATACAGCACGCTCCTTTGGGGGAAGTCTGCGTCAGTCGCTTGCACGCGCCCAACGCGGGTTCTAGCTGCAGCAATAGAGAATGATTAATACCGACTTGAGAGGGAGGCATCCTCACTGCCGTAGCCAGACTTCTGGAGGCTTCCTAGTTGTCAGAAGCCTGTATATCTTAAATATTCAATTCTATTAAATTCAAGTAATGCAAACAAGCACCCAGCGAGTAAGTGGGCCAGTAGTCCAAGCCGGGCTCGAGGTGGGAGAGGAAATTCACACCCTAGAAGCTCAAAGGCACCCATTACATCACCCCCATACCTTCCCACATCACACTGTGCTCCCTGCAAGGCGCTAATTGTGCTCCCCGGACCATCTTCTCGTGTTTTGTTTTGAAGCTAACATCAGAAAACAGAGACAGTCACGAGAATAAAATAGATAGGAAAAATGGGGGTGGGTGCTCTGATTTGATTTGGTTTTTTACTATAGAAGAAATACCCATGATCTCAAGGTACATGGCTCTGGAGGACCTATTAGATCTGACAGCACATGCCAGACAACAGAAAAATAACTCTTTGTACCTTCAAGTCGGGAGAGATGAGGAGAAACTGAAGCAGGGATCAGGAAGACTCTTGTCCTCTCTCATGTTCTCAGTTTCTATATCTATCATCTATTATCTATCTATCTATCTATCAATCATCTATCTATCAATCATCTATCTATCTATCTATCTACCATCTATCTATCATTTATCTATCTATCTATCATCTATCTATCTACCTACCTACCTATCTACCAACTACCTACCTATCATACCCTCCATGTGTGAGCGTGTGTGTTTTCTGACAGGGTCTCACGTGGTCCAGACTGACCCTGCACTTGCTATACCATAGCAGATGAGTCTGAACTGTTTCTCATTCCTTCACCTACCAAGTGCTAGGATTACAGGCATGTACCACCATGTCCGTCATGGGAATCTTTTCTTAATGGAAGAATAGACCATAAAAATCAAAATATCATTATAAAGGCAGAAAATAAGACTGCCGGAGAACTCAAGAAGAGGATGATGCTCTGTTTTGTCTTTAAAGAAAGGAACTAGAGAAGTGGGGAGTCTTTTTACGACCTGAAAATTCCAACTCCCTGAGCAAGTTGGTCAAAAATCACAGAGGAGACCAAGAACAAACATCATCAACAACATGGAGGATTAGCAGAAAACCAGGCAGACAGCAAGGAAGCAATCCGGGCATTCAGAGAAATGCAGTTTAATCAGGTTTTCAGGATCCATGACTAACCTGGAGGTCTCTGTACTAGCAAGAACAATTCAAGAAAGAGAGAGAAAATAGAGCAAGAGACAGTAGAGGGAGAGAGGGAAGAAAAGAGGGAGGGAGGGAGGTAAGCAAGGAAGGAAGGATGCAATCACACAAATCATCAAAGAACGTATGAAAACCTTCTGGTGGTCTCTGCCAAGAGCTATGCACCTGTAGAGACTGAAGTCAGGTGAAGCCTGGCAAAAAGCTATGACTATGATTTCACCCGTACCCACCTGGTCTTGTTTCTGACACATCAAACACATATGACGGTCTATCAAAGGTGAGAGGAAATTCATTTTCTGGGCTTGTTACAATGAAAATGTAGATGTTATCTAAAAAAGGAAACAGAATTAAACTTCCATCACAACCTGTACCCATCTGTCCAGTGGGCATTAGAGAGCATCTTCTAAGTGTGGGCTGAGGCACAGGCAGAGACCTGTCTCCAAGACAGTTAGCAGTAGGTTCTCAGTCAACACAAATACAAGTCACTGTTGAACCTGGAGGAGGAAGCTCGAGAAAAGCCCGAGATGGACAAAGAGAGGAAGATGGGTCATTGTGAAAATATACAGTAAGTGAACAGTGTAGAATAGGGAGAGTGTGGGACAGGGCAGTGTGGGACAGGGCAGTGTGGGACAGGGCAGTGTGGAATGACAGTAAAGTGTGGGGATAGCATGGAAAGGGGGAGCATTATAGAACAGGAGAGAGAGTTCTAGCCATGTGTAAAAACTCCAGGGTATAAAGCTTTGTTATTCTCTCGGGGCAGCTGCAGTGGTTGGCATTGACAGTTGAAGAGAAGGGACGTTGAGCGGGAAGGGTTGGGAGGTACAGCTAGCAAGCTATGCAGATCATGGAAGTGCTTGGACGTGCTTGTGTGGCAAACCCAAGAGTTTAAATGTGAACTTGACCAGTGCAGCACACGTCAATGTAGTTATGTGTCGGTATTTGCACTTTCTGAGAAATCAATGGAAAAAGTGAAGCTGTGTGGAAAGTAGAATGATGGAAAGGACAGGACCCTGAGAACACTTGACAGTTGTAATTCAGCCCCCACCAGAGGAAGTAGATGCTGGAGCCTGATTGGTGGATGCAACAGGAGCCCCTGTGTCCAATACCTAGAACTGCCTAATACAGTTCAATCATTGATGCCCGAGGGAGATGTCAAAAGGGTACTAAGAATCAAAAACTTCCTAAAATTCAATGAAAATGACTACACAACATAACTCAAATTTATGGGACACAATGAAAGCAGTGTTAAGAGAAATATTCATAGCACTAAATGCTGCATAAGAAAGCTGGAAAAAAAATCCCACAGTAGTGTGTTAACACAACACCTAAAAACTCTAGAACAAAAAGAAGCAGACTCACCCAGGAGGACTAGATGGCAGGAAATAAACAAACTGAGGGCTGAAATCAACAAAATAGAAACAAAGGAAACAATACAAAGAATCAATGAGACAGAGTTTGAGAAAATAATCAAAATAGACAAATCTTTAACCAAAAGGCAGAGAGAGAACATCCAAATTAACAAAATCAGAAATGAAAAGGGGGACATAACAAAAGACATAGAGGAAATTCAGAGAATCCAGAGAATCATATTTCAAAAACCTGTACTCCACAAAATTGAAAAACTTAAAAGAAATGAACAATTTTCTGGATAAATATCTCTTACTAAAATTAAGACAAGACTAGATAAGCAAATTAAACAGACCTATAACTGCTAAAGAAATAGAAGCAGTCACCAAAAGTTTCCAAACCGAAAAAAGCCCAGGACCAGATGGTTTCAGCTCAGAATTCTACAAGATTTTCAAAGGAGAACTAATACCAATATCCCTCAAATTGTTCCACACAATAGAAACAGATGGAACATTGCCAAACTCTTTTTATGAGGCTACAATTACCCTGATACCCAAACCACACAAAGACATTACTTAGAAAGAGAATTATAGACCAATCTCCCTCATAAACATTGATGCAAAAATACTCAATAAAATACTGGCGAACCAAATCCAAGAACAAATCAGAAAAATTAGCCACCATGATCAAGTTGGCTTCATCCCTGAGATGCAGGTATGGTTCAACATATGAAAATCTGTCAACGTAATCCACCATATAAACAAACTGAAAAAAATTCACATGATCATCTCATTAGACACTGAAAAAGCCTTTGACAAAATACAACATCCCTTCATGATAAAGATCTTGGAGAGAGCAGGGATACAAGGAACATACCTAAACATAATTAAAGCAATACACAGCAAGCCAACAGCCAACATCAAACTAAATGGAGAGAAACTCACAGTGATCCCACTGAAATCAGAAACAAGACAAGGTTTTCTAACCTTTTCATAGCTATTCAATATAGTAGTTGAGGTCCTAGCTAGTACAATAAGCAGAGAACAAAAGAACAAGGGGATACAAATTAGAAAAGACGAAGTCAGACTTTCACTATTTCTGATAATATGATAGTTTATATAAGGGACCCCAAAAATTCTACCAAGGAACTTCTACAACTCATAAACACCTTCAGTAATGTAGCAGGATACAAGATTAACTCTAATAAATCAGTAGCCTTGCTTTACACAGATGATAAATGGGCTGAGAAAGAAATCAGAGAAACATCACCCTTCACAATAATAACATAAATATTATAAACATAAAATATCTGGAAGTAACTCTAATCAAACAAGTGGAAATCTTTTTAAAAAAATTGAAAAAGACACCAGAAAATGGAAAGATCTTCTACTTTCTTGGGTAGGTATTGGCATAAAAACAGACAGGAGGACCAATGGAACCGAATTAAAGACCCAGATATCAATCCACACACACCTATGAACACCTGATTTTTGACAAAGAAGCAAAAAATATTAGATGGAAAAAAGAAAGCATATTCAACAGATGGTGCTAGCATAACTCAATATCAACATGTAAAAGAATGAAAATAGATCCATATCTATCACCATGCACAAAATTCAAGTCCAAATGGACCAAAGACCACAACATAAAGCCAGCCACACTAAACCTCATAGAGAAAGTGGGAAGAACACTTGAATGCATTGGCACAGGAGACCACTTCCTAAATAGAACCCCAGTAGCACAGACACTGAAAGAAACAATTAATAAATGGAACTGATGTGGGATTCTTCTCTGTATGCTGTGAATACCATTGGCTAATAAAGAAACTGTCTTAGGCCTGCACAGGGAATAGAGGTAGGCGGGGAAAACTAAACTGAATGCTGGGAGAAAGGAGGCAGAGTCAAAGAGAAGCCATGTAGCTCCGCTGGAGATAGATGCCAGAACTTTACCCTCTAAGCCACAGCCTTGTAGCAATACACAGATTATAAGAAATGGGTTAAATTAAGATGTAAGAGTTAGCCAATAAAAAGCTAGAGCTAATGGGCCAAACAGTGATTTAAATAATACAGTTTCTGTGTGCTGAAACAAACAAGCCGCCTCCTTACAGCAAATTGTCGTGCCAGTGTGGCCAACTAAAATCACTTAAAACCCAAGAAAGCTTAAAAAGGAATCCTAGACACAAAAGAACAGAGTTAAGCATGGTTTGGTAGTGGCATTTTCTTGGTTGGGCTCTGTTTGCTAGAAGCAAGCAGAGGCATGGCTCCTTTAAGAGAGATTTTCCTGACTTAGCAGTAGCAGAAAAAAAAAAAAAAGCCATGCTGCTTTGAAATGCCAGCTTTCTGGGCTGTGCTGCCTGTGAGAACTCTACTCTTTCCTGGAGGTCCAGCTATGGAACATTTAAATGGGGTTTGTGGATAGTGCACAGTTACTTGGTAGCAGCATGGGCCAACTGGTTATGAGAGTTGAGGTGGTGAGGATGGCTCTCATCCGGCAGTCTCAGGCACTAACGGACTTCCACCATGTTGGACTGGGCAGAGCAAGCCGGCAGGGATGTGTATACCCTAGCAATGCCGCAGTTTAGAATCTTAAGAAGTGCTTCTGGCCAGAAAATAATTACAGACATACCAAAAATACAGAGTCAGATGGAAAAATTGGAAAATGTACATAGGCTTGAGAGAGAGAAGAAAAAGTGTATAGACAGTTATAAAAAGAAATAAATATTTTTTTTAAAAAAGATAAAGTCTTTAAAGAGACAGAGTACAGATTAAAAGAAGTCATAGATTAAAAGAAGTAAAGACAAATAAGCCATTTAAAGATGAAATACACACAGAGGGTCTACATTATGTATATTGTTATGTTTTCTTTGAACTTTTTGACTGCATAGAGACATTTGATTCTGGGGACTGCTAAGCTAAACCAACTCATATGTTTTAAAGGTTTCTTGATTTCAAAGTTTGAGTCTATGGATATGTTGCTTTGGAAAATAGGTTCATCTTTGTTTCCACAGAGGATGAGAACCTGTGGATTGCTTCCAGGCTAATATGGTTTGATGGAACAAGACCCCCTGAAAGGTTTCTGCGAACACCCCTCAACAAAAATTACTTCACCAAACTGCTGACTGAGATAAATCTAGCACACAGGATAACAAAGAGGACCCTAAGAGAGACATACATGGATCTAATCTACATGGGAAGTAGAAAAAGACAAGATCTCCTGAGTAAACTGGGAGCACGGGGACCTTGGGGGAGGATAGGAGGTGAGGGATGAAGAAGGGAGGGGAGCAAAGAAAAATGAATAGCTCAATAAGAATAATAAAAAATGGTACTTGCTTTTATAGTGCGGAGGGGCGACATCTTGCACCTGGATTATCACCTTGTATGCATTGCCAGCTGCTATGTTGCTCGGGTTTTCACAATCTAGATCAGCAGTTAACTAGGTCAAAACAGAGAAAATAGATCACACAGGATAAACAGTCCTGTTTTTGAGCTGACACTCTATTTCCCTACCGTTAGCGGCTGTGTGGATGACCAGCATCCTTAGGGAAACCATTTGCTGGGGCATTTGAGGGGTTTTCAGACATGACCACACTCTGGTGGAGCTGGAGGACTTACTCAGAAGAATTTACCAGAGGAGAAAATCTATCTCCAATAGTCCGCCTAGCTAGTTAGCACTACTGCCCAACAAACAAAGTTCACGCCTTCAGAACAGCTGAAGAAAAGTAAAAAAACAAAACCCTTTTTACAGGAATAGTTTCCATTATTTAACATACATGTACATATATGTGTAGAAACATAAAACCACATAGAAAAGAAAAATATATCAAAATGTTGACAGTGTTCACTCCTATGTGGTGACATTCTTCAGTGTTTTCTACATCTTACTTGGTGGCTATGGATTAAGAAACTAAGAAAAAAATAAGAATTTCCCCAAAATTGAAATTAGTTTTTTTTTTATGACCCTATGACTTTTTAAGGGATTGAAGACAGTTTGAAATGGGAGGTGGAAAAGGCTGAGGAGAAAGGTGGTGGCAACCCCAGGGTCTGCTGGACACACCCGCTCAGGACCCTCCACACGGCCTTCGTTTCCGCTGTTTTATCCCTGCCTACAGCAGGGCACCTGTGTGAACAGAAGCCACACAACTGCTGAACCCCCGCCGTTCGTGCCCGTCTGTCCAGTTCCGCCTCTGCGGCTCTGGGGTCTCTGTGGTTCTGTGATGCAGAATCTCTCAGGATGGCCTGGGCTGGTCTCTCTCCCTCCCTGGCGCCTCATTTAAGGAGCGAGCACTCGAACAACAGCAGAGCGTGGGCACAGAGGGCACCGCCAAGTCTGTAACAGCTCAGTTAGCAGGCAGGCGACGTCCTCAGGCCCCAGCACGGCTCTGGGTAATTAAGGATGCCGAAGCCTGAGTGAAATAAAGGGCGGCCGGGAACACACAGCCACGATTGAGTCTGTCGAGAGGAGGCGCCTTGCAGATTTTCTCTCTGCAGGGTAGCAGAAGCACCAGGCATGTTGAACCAGCTTCCCCCAGCGTCCCTTTAATGAGCCAATGACCATGAACTGACCACAATTCTCCCAGAGCCAGCTGGACGCTGTGAGAATCTGCCGCTGCTCCCCGCTCCAGATGGCGTGGTGAAGTTGAATTTGTTGTTCGGAGCTTCACTGTCGTCATCAAAGCAGAACTTGTTCAGGTCCAAGAGCAACGTTCCGTTGGCTGCGTTTTCCGTCAACATAATGCTGGCAAAAAGATAGGATTCAATATTTTCCCCTAACAAACGGCGACTGAATCGGCCGTCTCACCGAGGCCGAGGCTAATACCTCAACTTCGCATTCAGCCCACAAGTCCTTGGCTGTGGCAGCATCCTCCTCGCTGCCCTCGCCGCTTCTGCCCTGGAGTCCTTGGGGAACGCTTCTAACATGGCAGCTAGCGGCGGCGTCCTGTCCCTGTCAGAACACAGCAGCCTGCTCCTGAGAACCGAAAAGCTCGGCCATTCAGTCACCATCTCACTTTAGGACGGCAGGACTCTCCTCACCCGCTCCTACCTTCTGGGGATTATTGGAGGGTTGCACCACCCAAACAGAGACGGCCCCAACAGTCACTAAGAAACTTCTTCAGGAAATGAATCCCCTAGTTTCGGGGTAGGACTATGGCCTGCCCTTCGTGGCCAAAGTGTCTCAAAAATCTGACGAAGGTATTAAACATGAACTGGAAATTATATTGTGCACATAAGACACAGAGCTCAGGTAGAGAGGAAGGCTGAAAAAACTCTAAAGGAGACTGAGCAAACTGGTCCTGAAACTGGAGAAAACCGGGCCATCTCCTCTCCTTTGCCCTGCTCAGGGCTGCTTACCAGAGGGGCTCACTCCTTTTAAGATTATGTTTAGGAAAAGCTGGGCAGTGGTGGCACGCACCTTTAATGCCAGCACTTGGGAGGTCGAGGCAGGTGAATCTCTGTGAGTTCAACGCCAGCCCAGTATACAGAGCGAATTTCAAGACAGCCAGAGCTGTTACATAGAGAAACCCTGTCTCGAAAAACCAAAACAACCAACCAAACAAAAGCAAAAACCCGAAAAACAAAAACAAATCCAAAAATATTCCAAAATTATGTTCGGGAGCTCACCTCCCACCCTCCTCAAAATCTGAGCAATTCCCCAGGCAGAAAAGTTTAATCATTCCCTTCTCAAGCCCTTGCGGCTTTGCCGGTCCAGGCCACTGACCAGGCAGCGAAGGGAATCCTGCTGTGCCCACCAGTTCTTTGCCCACTCTGTTTGGACAAAGAGGATCCCCACCCAGACTCTGGCACCAGCCTGGAAGGGACTCTCTGCCCAGATGTCCCCACCACCCCAGCTGTGAATGTGGCTGAAGTCATTCCTTGGATCCATCCCTCCCAATTAAAGAAGGCTGTCAAAGATGATGGACAGGTGGGCGTCATGTAACTTCAGACCCCTTCAGTAGAAGTCTGACCTGAGATCACTAACCCAGAATACTGCATTCATCCTTTTCCTTTCTCTGTAGGGAACAGGAGCCCACAACTCTCACTGGGCCCTCTCTGGGCTGGAGAATTAAGAATAACAGACACAGGAAAGTGATCGTCAATCCAACTACAGATTAGCAACCCCGGTTCCATATAGATCTTTGTTCTTTACACCCATTTATGGAGCTTGGTTGAACTACAGATGCGATGGTTGTAGAGAGAGAAAAACAGGAAACCCAGTTCTATCTGTGTCCAAAGAACACACACACACAACAACACTCACACCCACACACACACACATAAAGAGGGGACCTCCCAAACACTGCATGATAGTGACCTGCAATCCCATAACCATCCCGTGGGACACTGGAAGAACCTGGAAAGTAAGACTCTATTTTGCTACCAAAACAGACCCAGGAAATGTTTACCTTTCGGGGAGGCCACCTCTCCAGACCCCAGACTGACGGGTCCCAATAGTCCAAGAGAAAGAAGTCAACTGCAACCAACATTCCCTCTGTGAGATTGGCTGCAGCCAGCACTAACAGCACTACCACACTAGACCCCATTGGCAGGACTGGGGTTCCCCTTCTGTACTCTCTACCCTTGACAAGGTTCACAGTTTATCTGACCACTCATAGATGGAATGGGTCAGAATTGCTGACTGTGTTGAACCCTCAACCCCTTACTACACAGGGCTAGGCACCAACTAGACCATCGGTCCCCCAGCAAATACAAACAACTGCAACTAGGAACAGCATAAGCTGATACTGGGGGACATGCAGGGAGCTGGAACCTGCCTGGTGTCCGGGACTTTTGATGGAGAAACCTCACTTTACTCCAGCGCTTGCTAGTCCACTCTCCAGGTCAATTCTTCCATCAGCAGCCAAACTTTGTGGCCCCTGAGACCACTTGGTGGGCATGTACCAACGGTTTAACTAAACGTGTCTCCTCAGGCATCCCAACACACCAGGTCCCTGCCCAGGTGTGCCTAGAGAATGGGGAGGAAGAGCACACATCAACAAGGACCCAGGCTGCAGTGGGAAAAACAAGCTGCTCCCATCCTTGTCCTGCTCCCGACTGGGGCCAGTATTGCCGGGGCGACAGTCATAGGAGCATTGGTCCTCACAATCAGTGATAAAAACTTGAGAAAACTGACTAAACAAGTGGACTAGGACAAGAGGACTCAAGTCAAGACTAGAGAAGCAAGCAGACTCCGTAGCAGAAGTGGCTTACATCTTCTCTTGATGACATGGAGAGGATCATGTATGACTGTAGGGGAAATCTGCTCTTTCTATCATGACCGATTATGTTCAATTATAGAAAACTTTGCCATGTCCAGGGAGAACCTCAAAGAAAGGGGAAAAGGGAGGCATAGATCAGATGATTGGCTATCAGTCTCTGGTCACCTGGTCACCAAGGCTGATCACCTTGCTCTCAGCATTAGCCAGACCGTGATTCTTAACCCGATTGGGCTAACAGAGGGACCCGACATCCTCAACTGCATGGACAACTGAGCTACTGGTCCCTAGAACCAACTGTGCCCCTCTAGAACAGGATGGGTCAATGATTTGACTCATGCCATAGAACCAGTGGGGAACGTGATGGGGCAAGGCAGGGCAGAGGTTCCTCCATCTTGTATTCTTGCTGAGGCCATCCCAGGTTTAACTGGAATCTGGTCTCCTTGATGGAGAACTGTTGTAATAGGAGCAGCGGGGCTGCGTCCTTGGCACCCGGTCGCCCGCACGGCTAGCTTATGCCCCAAAATAATTACACGGAAACTGTATTCTTTTAAACACTGCTTGTCCCATTAGTTCCAGCCTCTTATTGGCTAGCTCTTACATATTGATCTAACCCATTTCTAATAATCTGTGTAGCCCACGAGGTGGCTTACCAGGAAAGATCTTAACCTGCGTCTGTCTGGAGTGGGAGAATCATGGCGACCCCTATGACTGGGCTTCTTTCTCCCAGCCTTCTGTGGGAACCTACCCAACTCTATTCTAGGAACCCAGGGTCAGGATGTCCTAGCTAACTTACCTTAGCGTCTGCTAAGACTGCTTGCTTCAAACGGCTTTACTTTTCCAAAGCCCTGGAGATGCAGGATGTGGAGTCTGCTTTTAAAAACCCCATGTTCTGGACGCTTGGGGTTCCACCCAGGTTCCTAAGCACTTGGGTGTGGTCCTAGACGCTAGAATAAAGACTTCCAATTGTCTGTACACTATGCCTGAGTGAGCTCCCCATAACACCATCAATAATATAATTTTATCTAAACCATGGATGTTTGCGGAGCATTGATTTAAGTACTGCGGATCTGGTAGAGAGTGTCATCTGAGCAATTCAGGATCCTGGTACCAGAGTGCACAGTTCTGTCTGTCTGTCTGTCTGTCTGCCCCCTCCCTCTGTGTGTGTGTGTGTGTGTGTGTGTGTGTGTTGAAGAGCTAACCCAGGGCCTGTTGCACGTTAGGCAATCACCGTAAGCTACACCAACAGTTTTGACACGCTCTTTTCATTTTTCCCCAAGACTTGGTATCCTCCCCCACCCCGCAAACGTGTTTCTTGGGAAGCCACCCCCCCCCTCATTTGTCAATCCCTGCCTCTAAGGGAAGCCTCTTTTCTCTTTTGCAGCCAACAGAAGGCTGAGGCCCTCACCATGCAAAGGTGGCTGGCCCAGCAGCTTTCTGGATCCGCCTCCTGTTCATGAACAGCTTGCAAAGCAGTTTCAGCCAAGGGCTGGACAATTTACAGCCTGACCAGAGGCCATCTCGCCGCCTTCGGTGCCTCCACTGGAGCCCTGGGCCCATCCACCATCAACCTGGGAACGCTGCAGCCTCCTGGTGCAAAGACGGGGGCGTCTGAAAGGACCTCCTCCTCCAGGCTGTCCTGCCCCACCCACCCACAGCCTCTGAGCCTCCAGCTACCACCCAGCTGCTCTTCATGAATGCTGGCACCCAGCCCTCCCACCCTCCAGCCCATCTGTAGGTGCCAAGACACAGTGCTCTAGTGTAAATGTCAGAGACTATGCGGTTCCTTTCCCCTTGTCCTGGGGTTTTGTTTGGCGTTTATGCTTGGGGTTGTGATGGCTGGGATGGAGAGGGATGAAGGATGGGGTGGCGGATACACGGACAGGGCTTTCAGTACCACAGGTCTGTATGTTCGGGTGTCGTGGACATGCAGGCTGAGGTCTTGAAGATTTCCACTTTAGAGCTCAAAGGAAGGAGCCTCTCAAGGACCCACCTCACTTACAATTCCTCTCAGCCTTCAACAGCCCTCCCCTCACACACAGGAGTTATCATCTTTGGAGATGCCTGGAGGTGGCGACTGCATTATTTAGAATTATCTTCAGACTTGAATATAATTAGCGCAGTTACTGACTTAGTGTGATGGACTTCGGGGCTAATTTAGAGAGAAAATCAGGAGCAGGACTCTCCGTGGGCTTGCCTGGACTGGAGGACCGGCGACATTCAAAATGTGATTTCACTGGGTAATTTGCCCTACCACCTCAGGGGACTTGAGACCACAGGAAGCCAGAACATTCGATGAACAGATACGAGCAAAGGAGAAAACAAACCAAGAGACTTGAGACAGCACAGTCTGCTCCAGGCACTGATACCCCTCCATGTGCAGTAACAAAGAGCCTGAAGACTTGGGATAAAGAGACGTTTCCAGGACTTACTGGGGCCGCTGCACAGGGCCAGCATTAATGGAGATTTCCAAGGGACGTGAGTGGTTCAGCAAAGCTCTGCTCCGTCTACAGGGCCATTCCCGTAGCAGATGGGGTTTAGACTGTGCCTGTGGTGTTGTGAAAGTCACATCCTAACTATCTGTGGCACCCATCCCTTCCCATCAAAGAGACTGAGCATCTGGAATGCACAAGTTTGGATAGCAGTCCACAACATGGTCCAGCCTGTGACTGCGTCAACCAGGTCTCAGCAGGAAGTAGATGGCAAACAAGGATGATTCTAGATTTAGTAAAGAGATGATTACAAAGGGGTGGGTGTATTGGTGTGTGTGGGAATTGCAAGGCTGACACATATCTCAGGGTTAATAAAAGTGGAGCAATCAGTTGTGGTGGTGCACACCCTTAATCCCAGCACTCGGGAGGCAGATCTCTGTGAGTTCAAGGCCAACCTGATCTACAGAGCTACACAGAGAAAACTTGTCTTGAAAAAGCGGGGTGAGAAAAACAGAATTGAGCATCCTTGCTACCAGAGACTGGAAAGTACCAGTGGAGAGAGAAGACCCTAAAACTGAAACTGAGGACTAGAGAGTGCTGTGTGCAGAGGGATGCCTTACAGAGACGGACCTTTTAGAAGGTGGAAGAAGGCTGACTTCCGGGGAATAGGTCAAGGTGCATGGAGGATCTGAGATGTGTTAGGACAGACTCGAAGTCATCACACTGACCCTCGAACACTGAGCAGAGCAGGCAAGCTGTAGAAGTCAGGAGCTGCTCATAACCATAACACATGAACTTGACAGCTATTGCTTGCCCAGGATGGTCTTTGTCTGGGACTCTTTATCTTTTGCATGGCCATGCTCTGTATTGAGTCTGCTCAAAGCCACCTGGAGCAAACTTGAAAACCCAGTCAAGACAACCCAAGAGCCTTTGTCTATAGGGTCATCAACACAGAGATCAGTTCTGATTTCCAGCCCTACCTTGGACGTGGGACTCAGCCCACAAAGGTCATTGCTGATGCACACCCCACCCCAACACTGCCCCCGTTCAGACTTCCAAAGACTGGCTAACATGGAAACCACAGACCTGAAGCTATTGTGGACAAATTCCCAATCTTGTGGCTTTTGTCAAAACAGCAAAAAAGACAATACTATGGTTTAAGAAAAAGGAAAGCATAGTAACCCAGAAGCAAAAAGGACTTCGTGGGGCTGAAGAGAAGTTCAGCATGTACGACAGTTTGCTGCTCCTCCAGGGGACCTGGGTTCAGCTCCTAACACCTCTGTGGATCATAACTAACTTTCCATAACTCCAGTTCCGGGGGATCTGATGCCCTCCTCTGAGCTCTACAAGCACTAAACATACATGCAGTACACAGACATGTATGCAGGTCAAATACTAACACACATATAATAAAAATAAGTCATTATTAGAGGACTTTATTTTAAAATTATTGTGAACTAATTAGAGTCAAAGAGCAATACATACACACACGTGCATGCACACACACATATACATATATAAAATAATTCATGTCCCACATGCATCTGTATTTCTCTCTCATTTATTAAGCTGTGGAGGATGAATTAGATGCTTTCCTTTGCTTTACCCCAGTACTTAGTTTGGTTTATTCATATTACTTATTATGGGTGTTTTTGGGAGATCCTAGTTAGCAATCCTGACTCCATTACAACCACTAACAGCACTTTCTCACCTCTGGGGGCAATAAATAAAGACAAGACACAGTCCAGAGAGGACCCTTGGTGCAAAGGGGATGAAATGCAAATTAACTGTAAGCACACTTAGAAAGAGGAACAGTAGTGAAGAGGGAAGGAATGAAAGAGGAAGGGAAAAGAACAAGAAAAAGACCTCTGAATAAAATGGGACACTCAAACCTGCTTGTCAGCGTCATTTTCCTGACGCTATCCGAGGTCAGAGAAGCCAGAGATCGAGGGCCACCCAAGAGGGAACACATTTCAACACCAGTACCTGAAGGTGAGCTTGCTGCAGGTTGCGGGGTTGTCATTGATGTCTTCCACAGTGAAGGTTATCTGGATACGGTTCTCCTGACCCCCAGAGGGTCTGTCCCTCACCAGAACCTCCAGAGAAACGATGGGATTCTGTCTCAGTTCGCCTGCATCTCGATCTAGCCTTTGGGCCACTTGGATTGTCCCAGTCACTAAGAAGGCAGAGGTTAGAGGTCAAATGAAGGACAAAGGCACAAGGAACATGGGGAGCACAGGAATGACGGTTCTAGAATGATGGCTGGTTTACCCTGGGGATAGCGCTGTACAGACAAGTCTCTCTGTAAAAGGATGTGTGCTTCTCTTTGACATTATTGGACACCTGACCTGACCCTGCTGTCCAGGGTTGAGCCCTGGGTACAGCACTGTCCACAGCTGACTGAACAGGTGGGTAACTGACTTCAATTATTGGAGAATCTGTTGCTAAGAAACACACTTTGAGAAGGAGTGAGGCTACCGCTGGAGCTACAAGTGAAAGCCCAGATCCTTGGGGCAGCGCTGGCTCACATCCCTCCTCTGCCCTGATCACTTGACTCCTTCTGATGAGATGTGTCTCCCCTCTCCTCTACTCCCCTGTTCTCTTTTCTTCTTCTCCTTCTTTCCCCAGTTTCATGCTTAGCTTGATTTGCTTTCATTTTTATTACTTAGAACCAGTTTTAATGTAAATATTCAAAAAAAGGGGGAGGCGAGACTTTAGCTCTGAGGCAGAGTGTCAGCCTGGAATGGAAAGCGCCCTTGGTTCAATCCCCAGCACTACTGTGTGTCTGCTGTGTGTGTGTGTGTGTGTGTGTGTGTGTGTACGCACACGTGCGTGCATGCGTGGGTGTGTGCGTGCTTGTAAAGGTTAATTTTTGCAACACTGGAGTGAACAGAATTTTCACCTAAGATCATCTATCACTACACTCTTAGCTCTGTGAGGTTGTCAATATCAAAAGCCTTCAGAAGTTTCCAGACATAGATCCCAGGTGCAGGCTTTGCACACTCATCACCAGGCTCAGACTAGGTGTACTCAAAAGCTCATAGGACCAGTGACACCTGGTCTGGGATAGTCTGATGCTGGTTTCCACAAAGGCATTATTTAAAGTGAAGTCCAAAGGTCTGATGTGGCCTGGATTTATGGAGATGGGTTTGTATAGTGGCTAAGAGGACAGACTCTAGAATCATCTGGCGTGGACTTCCAAGTCCTTCTGTGAGCTGGGGCTCTTGGGAAAACTCACTGAACCTGTCTGTCTAGGTCTCTCTCAAGCCCTTGGTTTTCCTTTGTTAGTGCATTGGGTTATGTAAGTGCCTGGGAAGGATATGTGCAGCTGCTCAGCATAACGTCTGGTGAGGACAAAGTCTTAGGAAGGTGGCTGTTCCAGAGGAGAGGAAGCTCATGTTCTGCGCAAGGCTGCTCGTGCGGGAACACGAGCGCCCACGATCTACCAAGCTGATCTAGAGAGACTTTGTCCAGTGCACCATCATTAGCCACATGAAGCTGTTTAACCCCCAAATGAGGCCAGTCTGGACTGAGATGTGCTTCAAGTATAAAATACGCAAGCTTCCAAACAAAATAATATAAGCTATCTCAATTGATTTTAAATATCAGTCATGCTGCAATTACAATATTTTGGATCTAAAGAGTGATTTTATTTTATTATTTATTTATTTACTTGTTTATTTTTCAGTTTTTCAAGACAGGGTTTTTCTCTGTAGCTCTGGAGCCTGTCCTGGAACTTACTCTGTAGACGAGGCTGTTCCAGAACTCACAGAGATCTGCCTGCCTTTGCTTCCCGAGTGCTGGGATTGAAGGCGTGCACCACCACTGTCTGGCTGTAATTTCATTTTTTAATGCAACTACTGAAGACATTGACATTGCACATCTGCCGTTACTTTATTTCAGTTAAGTCCATACCACTCTGCATCCTTAGAAATGTGTGCACAGGGCAGGAGATCAAGCATCTTTACAGGCGCCTTCCAGGGAGTGATGGGGCTCACACAGAGCACCCTGAAATCTGAGGTAACAGGAGAAGCAGGGGGGCCTCTCTACCCTCATTCTGTCCTCCCCAAGAGAAAGCTATCAGGCCTTCACTCGAGAGATTTGCCCAGAGATTGGTAAGCGTCACCATCTAGAAGGGCAGAGACATCGAACACCAGCTTTAGACACTTGGTCCCCCATAATCATAATAATAATCATAATTACTCCTTTACTTTCTCATCAAATGGTATAGAAATGCAATTTTCCAGACAGGACTAGTGGTTAATGTCTGTAACTCCAGTAAACAAGAAGCTTAAGCAGGAGGATTGCCCTGAGTTGATTCATAGCAAATTATAGCTCAGACAGAGTTGCATACCACTTGCAGGAAAAAAAAAAAAGGCACTGTGCAGTGGTGGCACATACCTTTAAATCTCAGCACTAAGGCAGATCTCTGAGTTCAAGGCCAGCCTGGTCCACAGAGCGAGTTCTAGGACAGCCAGGGCTACACAGAGAAACCTCGTCTCAAAATAAACAAAAAAATATAAAATACATTTCCCTTGTATCCCTTAGTCTTCATTTCCACATAGATGGAGATATATAAATTCTATTTATAGGGATTTCAATCTTAATCTTAATGGCAGTGAAGAAAAAAAATTCACCCCCCTCCATAAAGGTGACAGGTGACCCAGCTGTTCACAGTCAGCCCTGCTCAGGCGCCACGATCTTGGCTGGTTGCCTTTCATCTATCCTTTCCCTGACAACGAAGGCTGAACCTGGAGAGAACGGCAGGCCACGTGCCAGTGAGGAAGACAGCATTGCCAACCACTCCAGCAGCTGCATTAGCCGCTACGGGATAGGATGCTGTGGATGACTCACGCTGGTCTATGACAAAGTAGCTGCTGACGGTAGTGATGCTGTAGAGGAGGTGGCCAGGAACGCCCTCGTCATCAGGATCCTCTGCCGTGATGTTTGCCACGATGGTTCCTGGACGCACTTCCTCTGGGATGGAGTACTCTCTCCTTGGGCTGGAACAAAAAAACACTGCAGACGTGGCTAATTTGCAGGGGAAAGGGGAGGGTGCGGACTGGGCTGTAGGTATTTTGGGGTGTGCTAAATATAGCACCGCATTGCTTGAGTGGCATCAACATGCAGAGAACACAGCCACTGAAAGGAGGGTGACTGGCGTCTGTATTTCCAAAGATCACATCCTTGAAGGTGCAGAGGCGTGCCAGGCTGCTGCTTCTGCGGCAATTTACACGGGCACAGCCACTGACGACCTGCCTGACGCCTTCTATCTTTAACACCCCCTCACATAAAGATACAGCCACGCAGTCAGCGTCTCTCCTCCCCGTTTGTCTGGATCCTTTTAAAGAACCCATCCGGATGCGACGTTCAGGACCGCAGGTTTCCCCACTGCGCATGACTCTACCCTGGGGAATCTACCCCCGTGGAACCTGCTTCCTATTCTAGCATCTCCGATTTTTGTTTATTTCTTCTTCTTTTGCCCGCGGATACAACATTTCCACACCGAACGTGGGCATCTTTCCAGGTGGCACTCATCCCCAGGTTAGCTCTCTCAACTGAGGCGCCCCTGGCAGTCACACATGGCACTGTTCCCGAAGGGTTACTGTGTATAATAGAACTCCAAGGGCCCAACGTACCCACGTTTCTCAGACCCCCATGCGTTTGTAAAAGGCCAGTAGTGAGATCATTTCAGTGTGGCAGAGCCCTGTTTCCTAAGGTGCCATTTCCCTTTGTGGTCCCTCCTTGAAGCCAGACCTCGTCTCAGCTCTAAATGCTGCTCTCTCAGGTCGAGGGCTCTGACCACTCTGCTGCCCCCACCTCACCACAGCTATCCCACAGGGTGGACCAGAGGAAGCAGACACAAGACAGAGCCTGGGGCTGAACTCAAGAGAAGCAGAAACAATCTGAACCCAGGCCTTCATCTTAGCGTACCCCATGGGCTATTCCCCAAGACCTGGGCTCAAACAGCATCCATGGGGGGGGTGGTCTCCCACCACGTACCCCATTGTTGGGGAGGAGTAAGCTTGTTTTGCCTAAGAAGTCACTCCAGTGTGCGGGCCTCCCTGTCTGGTGTCCCACTGAGTGAGCCCTTGTGGCCTCTTTCTCACTTGCCATCTCCCTTCTCAGAGTGTGAGACAGAAGTAGGCAGAGGCAGAGGAGCCAGGGGCAGCAGGGACCAGAGATAAAGCCAGATGAGAGAGGTGGCCTTGTCTTCTAGAGCTGACGGAACTCTGTCTCTAATGCAGGATGTTTTCTCTTCTATCCACTCGACTGGGTCTAGTAACTTCCCAGCTAGGGTTATAAAGGTACTTGGTGGTTTGAAGGATAAAATGTACCCCATCGTTTCTGGCACTTGAATATTTACTCCCTAGTTGCTGCTTTGGGGGGAGGCTTAAGAGGTGTGGCATTGCTGGAGGAAGTCTGTCACTGGGGGTAAGCTTTGAGGTTCCAAAGACTCCCCCTTCCCAGTTTGAGCTCCGCTTCCCCATTGAGGTACAGATGTGAGCGCTAAGCTGTTGCTCTACCCGCTGGGGTCCTGTTTCCCTGCAGCGATGGTGATGCAGTCTGATCCTCTGACAGTTTGGGGGACTGTCAGCCCCCCAAACACCCTCCCTTGTGTGAGTAGCCTGGGCCATGGTGTTTTATCACAGTCGCAGAAAAGGCAATAAAGATACTCGCCGCCTGCAAAGCCTTGTCCTGGGCTCTCTACGTTACTCCCGGCACCAGCGATGCCAGCATCACCAGTGAGCTCACTGGAAATGCAGGACCCAGAGCCCCAGAGACCGGAGGGTCCACTGAGACAGACAGGGGTGTGCACGCACTCCCCAGGGTCAGAGGTAACAGTGAGTCCCAGGCTGCCTAGGACAGACAGAAGACACCACGGGAGGAATCTGCCCTCACTCCCATCTTTGACTCCTTCTAGGCAGTCGTTCTGGACCTGTATGTGTGTGGGGGGGGGTAGGGAGGAGATTATATTTAGACACATCTTTTGGTTGTCACAACTTGGGGAGGGAACTGTTCTTCCCATGTTGAAGATGCTTCTAAACAAACTCCATCGTGTGAGACAGCCCTGCCACCGAGAAGCATCTGGTTCAAGTCGGGCTGTGAGCTTAAACCCTGCTCGATGACTCTACAGTTCTACAGTTCATGCTGGCTGTGCCAGGTTCTTATGAAAGAAACAGGGCTGGCTGCTGGGGAGAGCGCCTCATTGCCCTGACAGCAAGTGAGGCAGAAAATAAAGTTTTAGTATTTGATCTAAGATTTATGTCTATAAAGAATATTATCCATCAAAAAGCTCTGATTTCAGTCTCCCAAAATAGAGAGGAACTGGAGAGATGGCCCAGTGGTTAAGAGCACTGATTGCTCTTCCAAAGGTCCTGAGTTCAATTCCCAGCACCCACATGGTGGCTCACACCATCTGGAATGAGACCTGGTGCCGTCCTCTGGCCTGCAGGCAGAACACTGTATACGTAATAAATGAATCTTTAAAAATAACCAGAAAGGATAAACATGATTATCATTCACATCCCCACTCAGCTCCGCTCTACACCTGAGGGCCAGAGCTCAGGACCACAGTGGGTGGGTAATCACGTTCTCTGTGTGATCGGGTAACCTCCTCCCTGTGAATGAGCACCCTAGACATCATTGCCTGGCTGGCACCCATTACAAGAGGACAAGCAGCTACAAAGGAATCAGCAGAGGGAGGAAGAGCTACTTGCCGACATGTAGAATAAAGTGCTCTGCCGCTTGTAATTGAACAGCCTGAGCAAAATGAGGCAGTGTCCTGCCCCACCCCACTTCTGGAGTGCAGGCTCCTGCAGACACACCTTGACGCCATCCATGAACATGAAGCAAACCAACTCAGAGCTGACTCTGGTCCAGCTCTCAAATCACAAGTGAGAACCGGAGTCCGAAGGTGCCTCTGGTGGTCAGTTCCCCTCTCTGCTAAACAGCTTATTGCTGTATTTCAGAAGACATGGTTCAAAGCAGATTCGCACCAGAGATTACTGTGTGCTCCTCATTTGTGCTGTGGGGACTATTTCCGGCCATAGGGGTGCCAACCCCATAGCTACCACCTTCCTAGATCTTTCTCAACCTACTGGTGTCTATTTCTAGGCCAACCCATCTGTAGAAATGCTCTGGACCCAGCTCCAGGAACTGCTGAGAGCATCCCAAGGACGACTACTTGTTGCTGCAGCCGCTGAACCACAGCTGGAGCCAGTGGGGCAACAGAAGCGTCTCCACTGTGCTGGGTTTGCAAAGGGGCGTGAAGTTAGCCTGCACGCACAGTACCCTTAAGACCTCCCAGTCTTAAAACATGTTTGGTTTTGTGTCTGCTTGCATGTTCTAATGCATGCAGTACACGTGCATACGGAAGCCAGAGAACATCCTTGGATGTTGTTCCTCAAGGCTGTCCACTTGTTTTCTTATTTGAGACAGGGCCTTTCACCAAGGAGGCTTGGCTGGTTGGCCAGTGAACCCCAGGTTTATCTGTCTCTGTCTCCCCAACACTGGGGTTGTAAGTGTGTAAGCACACCTGGCTTTTCTGCGTGGGTTCTAGGGATTGAACACAGTGAGCACTTTATGTATGGAACCTACTTTCCAGTCCTCTTAAAATACGTTTGCAAGTGCTCCACCTTGCTATAATGCTTGTGGCTGTTTCAAATATTTTCATTCTATCATATACATATATAACATAAATATGTAAATATACAGAAATAGGTAAATGCAATGATTAAATATATATGATTAAAATATATAATACATAATATATTGTATGTAATAATAAATGTTATATAAGTATATATGTATATGTGTATATATTGGTTATTTTTGAGACAGGGTTTCTCTATGTAGCCCTGGCTGTCTTGGAACTCACTCTGTAGACCAGGCTGACCTCAAACTCACAGAGATCTGCCTGCCTCTGTCTCCGGAGTGCTGGGATTAAAGGCATACACCACCACTGGCCAGCTATTTTTAATAGTTTCAAAGGTCTATTTTATTACGCATATGTCTATGTGTGTGTGTGTGTGTGTGTGTGTGTGTGTGTGTAAACACGTGAGTGCAGGCGCCGGAGAAGGCTGGAAGAGAGTATTGGATCCCCTGGGACTGAAGTAATGGACCAGTGTGAGCTGCCCAGGGCAGGTGCTGGGTACGGAGAAACAGATTCTAGACCTCCGTAAGAGCAATACGTCCTCTTAACCGCTGCGCCACCTTTCCAGCTCTAGTTTTGCTTTCAATGGAAAAATGATAACTGTGCCCTGCCTTTGGGTTTGGAGAGTAGCTTGTGCTGTGATTTGTTCGCAGCCGTTAATGCTGCTGACCTCCGAGCACACGATGGCGCTGTTTCCCTGTGGCTGGGGCCTGTGCCCACAGGGTAGCAGAGAGCAAGGCGGCTCTGCAGGGCATCTGCCGCCTCTAATTCCCCTCTCACCTTCCCGAATCCCCACGTGCAGCAGGCCCCTGCTGCATGAAATGTGGGTGCCACAGCCAGGTGTCTTTCTGGGCTCACCAAGCCAAGAAGAAACTGCCACGCCAGCGGGCTTATGATACCATCATGGGCCTCTAGGTTCTATTATTGACACGGGGCATGCTATTAACCAAGCCTTGTATTCATCTTCTGCGTTTGTACACGGACTCAGAGGGAGCACTATGCTCAGCCGCTGCTCCTCTTTCCACCATGCCCGCAGTCCCATGGTGCATGTGAATAAATGTGGGGGGTCAGGAGGTGTGGCGAGCAAAGAGGGAACAGGGGGCCAAGGGGCATGAAGGACCCTGGAGAGTTCTATGTCTCGTCTCTCCCCTCTAGGCCAGAGCAAAGCACATCTCTCGGCGTGTCTCAGACAGCTATGGCAGCAGACTCTCTGAGCCCTGTCCTCTGGCCCTCGGGCCTACCTGGTAAAGCGTGGGATCTCGTCGTTGATGTTCACAATGGTCACCCGGAGCGTTGTGGAGGCGGTCAGGTTCCAGCTGTCTCTCACTCCCACGAGGAGACTGAAGCTGTCAGGGGAACATTCCGAGTGCAAGAGACAGGCTTGCTGAGACAGCCACAGGGGAAGCAAACGCAGTGGAAGGAGCGGAGGCGAGCGGCGCCCCCTCTCCAGCCGCCTGCTTCTTAGGCACCTTCAAAGGCTACCGGGCTGCCTTCCAGTTCTGGCCACGGGTCTCACTCCCTCATTCCTCAGTCTGGAGTCAAAGCCAGCCAAGTCATATTCTCCGCATTACAACGTCCGTGCAATGGACCTGTTCTACTCTCCAGGAATTGAGGCTCACATTTTAACTCGGGCCTCCCTACACTAGACAAAAGCTCCACCACAGAGCCACACCCTATCCTCAACAACCACTCTCGTTCTCTTGGCTAGTCTAGCTGGGAGCCTCCCCTGGCTTTCCCAAGGCCTGTGGCTTCCACCTCAGAGCCTGACTTCTCGTCATACTTTCTGACTATCGGTGGTCCAGATGCTGCCCTCCCGACCCTGTGCCCCCAGCTCTGGGCATGCCCTCCCCTACACCATGGTTTTGGCCCTGCTGAAGCTGAGGTCCTAGCTGCACCCCAGGCTGCGTGGGGACCCGCCAACCTTGTGTTTGTATCTGGCTATTCCCTTATTTTTCCTTGAGTTACACACAGTCATTCTCCAGGGAAGGTAGTTGGAAAGGTTTACCTCTTGTGTCCTGCTTCAAAGTCCAGTTCTGTGGTAGAGAAGAGGGTGCCGTCTGCAGACACCCTGAAGTTTTTTGAAGGAGAGATGAGGAAATACTGCAAAACAAGGGAAAGTCCGATGTGTGTCAGCACACCCTCATCTGGCACGTTTGGTCTACACAATGCTGCGGACGGTCCAGGCAGATGTCTAGATTAACGGTTCTGAGATGTCCTGGTTGCTGAGGAGCAAGGTCTTTAGATGCAAATCTGGTAGGAACCCTGGCTCTGATGGACTCCCTAAAGGGCTGTCCCAACTATTGAACGTCTGTCGAAGGGCAGCTGCTAGCTCTCACCTCCCTCTCCATGTCTCTGTCATCTTACTTCTGCTGACCTTGGCTCTGACACTGTGCCTTTACTTATCAACACTTGTTGAATTAGGAGCAGCGAGGCTGCGTCCCCGGCACCCGGCCGCCCGCATGGCTAGCTTATGCCCAGAAATAATTACACAGAAACTGTATTCTTTCAAACACTGCCTGGCCCATTATCTGTAGCCTCTTATTGGCTAGCTCTTACATATTGTTCTAACCCATTTCTAATATTCTGTGTAGCCCACGAGCTGGCTTACCAGGGAGGATCTTAACCTGCCTCTGTCTGGAGCGGGAGAATCATGGCGACTCCTCACTCAGCTTCTTTCTCCCAGAATTCTCTTCTGTATACTCCGCCTACCTAATTTTCTATCCAATAAAATGGGCCAAGGCAGTTTCTTTATTAATAAGAAACCACTCCCACATCAAACACTACTTAAACACACTACCCCACGTTAGAGACTAGGACCCTGCCACCATGAATGCATTCCTGTGCTTATCCTTGAAGGAGCTGATGATCAGAAACTTGAAGATCATTCATTGAAATGACAGAAGGGAAGAGAGAGACCATTGTAACTTGGGGATGTGGGAGACAGCAGGACTTAAGAGTTGGGGGATACGCTGTTCTTAAACTTTACCCTGGGTACAAGACCACTGATAAAAATAAGCTTTCCTTATCTTTGGGAAGTTGAAGGCCTTTGTTGTTTTTCATACCCGTGCCCAATGCCACTCTCTTGACAGTTGGCTGTCACACCCATGAAGTCTGATAGAAACATGCAGGCTCATGTAGAACCCACTAAGGTCCAGCCCGCAGGAAGACCATGGCTATATTCCTCTGCAGGTGGTCATCAAGATGGCTTCCTTGCTTGGAGTATGGAGTCAAGGAAGCAAGAGAACGGGATGCAGAAGAAGGGCTAGGGACATCTTCTCACCCTCCCACTGCCAGTCACCCAGGGACCACACCGATGGCTCCATGCTTTGCCATCAGGAGGACTGAACGAGAAAGCACATTGTTAAGCCTGAAGGGCAACAAGAACACGGTTCATATCCCTTTACTGCAAAGGGCTCACGGGGTAAAAGGTTTCACTTTTGCTTGCCAAGATGAGAGGTGGTGTATCCCCAAGGCCTTAGATGAGAGAGCCAGCTAACCAGTGGAGGGTTTGGAACCAGAACCACAGCCCCCAAAGCCTAGGATCAAAGACACACAGCCAATGTCTCCAACCAAAGACGTGGTGTGTGGCTGCTGCAGAGTTCCTAGGGCCAGAGAAGAGTGGCCAGAAAAATAGATTAGAGTCTCCTTTGGAGCCAATATGGAATCTTTAAACAAAGTCTGAGAGGCGTTTACTTTCTGTTTGTTGTGCAATAATCTCTTTCTAGTTGTAGTGAATATACGTTTACACAAAAATTGGGGAAGACATAAAAACATTAAAAAGTGACGAACTGAAATCCCCATGTGATTTCTCATCATTTGGATGGATTCATTCCTGGTCTTTCTGTGCAAACACACACTTTCTAAAACCTCAAGATGATGTGCTAATCCAATGGCAGTTCTTATTTCCGTCTTGAGCGTTTCCTCATAGCCTTGTGTCTCCTGTCAACTGTTTAGCTTCTGAGTCCAGAAGAGATCAAGTGTGGTCGGTGTGAGTTGCCCACAGATCCATGCCGTCACACTGATCGACCAGCCTCGTTAGCTAACGACAGCGCAGTATTTTAGACACGGGGTTTACTTAACAACAACCTCTTAGTGTTCATTTATGGGTCTCCTGCCCAGTTTTAAGAGGAGACAGTTGGGCATTGCCTGTGAGCTCTCCTCTGTGACCTTCTCTCAGGACTACATCCCCTGTCCCTTATAGACACACCTTTGCAAGCCCCTGCCATAGCTCCAGTTCTTTGCCTGAGCAGCAACAGGTTGGGTTGTAAGCTGCTCACACGCAGAGCAATCCTGTGTCTTTGGGCTGAGTCCTCCCTGCAGGAAGGTCTCCTGTATCAGTAACCAGAGGCTCAAGCTGGGCGCGATAGAAGAACAAGGTTTTAGGGACTCGTGGAGACCTTTACTATAAGCACCAGAGCCAGGGGCTCTCTGTGTGCGTCTTGTAAGGCTCTGGGAGACAAATCTACTTATCTGGTTCTAAGCAGAGGGAATCTTGGGATACAGCCATGGCAGATAGACTGAGGGATTCCAAGAGAGGGCAATAGGGGCAATGATAGGAACCAAAATCTCTCAGACACAGTTGGGATATAAAAGTCACACACTCGGATTGTAAATTATGGATGAGATTCTGGAAGAGGTCTTCTGGATTTGACTCCTGGCTCCACCATTCCCTGTAAGTTTGTGCAGGATAACAGCAACAGAGCCTGCATGGAGGAAACTTCAGGATGTCTGTCTTAGTCCCTGTTCTCTTGCTGTGAAGAGACACCATGACCAAGTCAAGTCATCATGTGAACAAGGCCCTGACTTTAATTCCCAGCTCTGCAGCACCTTAAAAAAATGGAGTAACAGAAACTGCCTCACGTGGGCATTCAGAGAGTCTTTGTTAAGTATCCAAAGACTTCCAATCTCTCTCTGACAAGAGACCAACCAACAATCCCTTCTCTGGAAAATCCTAAACAAGTGGAGTACCGTGTTCTGTGCCTGTAATCCCCGCACTTGTGAGGTAGAGCCGGGGGCATGGCCACAGATTCCGGGGCAGCCTGCAATACAAAATGAGACCCTATCTCAAAAAGTCAGTCATGGTAGCCTCAAAAATCTTAAAACAACAATATCGGGCAAAACATTTTGTGAGTCTGTTTAAGAAGCAATGGTATATTTGTCAGTGAGATCTTGAGTTCAGCCTACGGTCTCAGTAACTGCTGTAGGAAAGAAAAAGCCAAAGAAACAGCAACGGGTAGAACCGGTTTGGGAAGCAAACACTGAGGGCGTGAGAATTGTCTTCATTTCTATTACGCTGCTTTCCTGGAATCCAATCTTTACATATATGTGAACATGTGTACAATTGGTGCTAAGCTAATTTCTTCTCCTTCCATCTCCTCGCTTTGTTCATGCACACACAGTTTCGTTCTCAGAAAAGAGATAATATCCGTAGACTAGAAACATTGTGTCAGGTGGCCCCTTGCCAGCGACTCAGTAAGGCTTTCTCTAAAACCTGGCATCCTTGCCTCCTTTTTAAAGGCTTGTTTAATCAAAGCTCTCCCCTGATATTCATTCTTGGAAAACAGAAACTAAATAGAATGAAAAGGCACCGCAGCCCCCTCTGCCCCAGTCCTGGCTGAGGAAAGTTCTGAGTAATCAGATCAATTCAGCTAACGAATGCTCGTTAGACAAGCTCTCTGCTTCCCACAGTCCTGTTTGAGGGCTCCCGGTGGTTCCTGTTTGCCCTTGGTCACAAAAGCTTCCTTTTGGAAGACACGGGCCCATCCTTTCTCCCATTCACTCTGCAGAGTGCTTTTCGTATAGGCAGAGGGAAGATGAAGGGGCCCAGTTTGCAGAAATGTCAGCTCCCTGGGGGCCAGCAACCTCCCCTTGGCTTCTTTCTACAGTATGGCAGAAGCTGGCAATATAACCTTGGTGTCTTCCACAGCCATTCCTAGCCATCCTACAAAAATCAATGCGAATTCAGCCTTCTGTCCTAGAGAACAGGGCATCCATCCCACAGGGAGCCAGTTTCCAGAGGGAAGCGAGAACCCACGTTCTCCCAAGTCCAGGGGGCCCAAAGATATTTCAAGCCTGAATTCAGGACCCTGTAGCCTCACCCAGAGAAGAAGCTCCCACACAGACCAGAATCTCCCATTCAGGCTATGGTGGTTAGAAGTACAACGCAGTGTGTCAGTTAGATTTCTCTGTTCAAGCTGAATCTTTTGAAACAAACAAACATTCCTACCAATTCCTCTTTCTCTTTTTTCCTATGCTACTCCCATCCAGCCCTGGGGGTGGTAGGTGGTGGTGTCGGGGAGGGAGGGAGAAGGAAGGAAGCCTTGACAGAAGGGAAAAGACCAATAAAAAGCTGCTTACTATAGCCTACCCTGGCTTCTGCCTGTGTGGAAGAGCTAAGTGTGTATGGCATCACTTAAATGTTTTGAAGAGACATGGACAAGTTTGTGTATTGGGAGTTCTGTAGCTGTTTTTTTTTTTTTTTTTTTTTTTTTTTTTTTTTTTTTTTTTTTTTTTG